TGATTGAATATTTACACCATGTCACTGACAGAAACAGTATTGTACAGCCTCATTTTCAATAGTAGAGTACAAATAAGGAAGGAAGGTGCACAATAGGTTCTTTTGGCGATTTGCCGAGATCAATAGTGAATTTGTTGGGTAAGGTCATATGGAGCGCGCTTGATACGAGCTGTGATCCAGACAGTCATGTACCTAGGGTGCATGTTCCCTAGAGTAGCCAAGGATTTCCCACCGTGAATGGGGTTCTGAAAAGGAGAAGAGAGAGAGAAAAAGGCAGCAGTGTGGCAAGTGTATATATATAACCAAAGCACTACTTAACCTGTCATGTTGAAGTAGTCAATACAGTAGTAAGTCAAGATAAAATTCATACTGACCACTTAAATTAAGGTAAATTATGGGAATATAAGAATATAACGCACAGATAAAGGAGTACAGCAAAAAGAAGGGAGAGTTGTGCAGTGTCAGGTGGACAGAAGAGAAGTCGAAGTAAGAAGCTGGATTTATGTACGTTGAAATCGAAATTCTAGTTGAAAGAGTAGAGTTTGTAAAAATAAAAATTTGACGAATAAAATCTCGCACTGTCTAACTGTTTTTTTTTCTTTATTATTGAATGCCAACCTCTAAGTCATACTGTTAGCGCCTGAGTAAGAATGTTGCAGGTGTCTCGACAGAAAAGCGACCTCAGCATAGTTTTGGAAACATGAACCACAGAAGTAGCAAGCGTATAAGAGCAACCTCAGTGTTACTGATTAGTCGTCTCATCAATCTAAAGAGCCGAAAGCAAACAAAATGTTCTGCCCCACAAACATGGGTGGTTTGAAGTTATCGCCCACACCATCAATGTTTGCTGGTCAGTAACTCCACCCTCCCTCCTTTTGTGTTGTTAGGCTCATGTTAAATGTTTAAAAGAAGCTATTGAGTTCTACTTGGTGTTCTATGTCTCGCATCCTGTTGAGAAACACTATTTCTACAAGTTCCTTTCACAAACTCGTCTGGCTGTTACAACTTATGAACTATTGGTTAGGCATCAATGCTATACAGTTAACAGTTATGGAGAAATAGTAAGAATTTTCAAACAAGATATAAGCATTTAGAATGTAGTGGGGAAGATGTACTTAACTATCTAAGCAGGAGATATAAAGAGTATCGCGGTTAAAAGCGGAGCAATAGATAACACTAAGGGGCCAAGGTAAGTCAATAGCGTGTAAGTGAGAACAGTATAATTGATAATAGGCAATGTGAAACTCACACAGTTGTAAGTGTTGATAAGGTTGCGCCCAGGAGAGTAGAGTGCATTCTAGTCAACCAGTTTACAGTTGAACAGTGTCGATCGACCCAGTTAGTAGAGTAACCTGTCTATTTCAAATAAAAACTAAAGAGATTTATATTCAACTAGAAAAATTAGTGCTACTTGGGAGTGTAAAAAATAACTAAATAAGACGCAGCACTGAGTTCATTGTGTTTAAAGTGTATGCAGAGCTATTAATATGAAAGCAGGGTGCGAGTGAGTTCACGAGCGCAGAAGAGTCAGTGCAACTGAGAGCATCATCAAGAAGTTGAACAAACTCATGTAACCCACTTGCCATGCGTATTTTTGAGGGAAGCCTATTCCATATAAGTGCATACTTAGTGAGGAAGAAGTTTTCTCGAGTTTTGGATCTATACTTCTCAAGTTTGACCGTAGATACTTTATCTCGAAGGTTATGTGTACAAGGGCCATGGATAAGGACTAAACTGCAGGAGGAATATGTGAGCTTGTGCAGGAGTTTAAAGTAAAGGATCAGATTGGACTTAAGCCTTCTTTTCCATAATGGATCGAGCCCGAGTTCAATACATCGGGTTGGATAGTCAATGGGTGAGCTATGATTTAGGACTTTACGAGTAAATTTCCTTTGTATTCCTTCAAGCTTCAACATATCAGACAGGCGTACGTTAGAAAATAAGAAAGAGCAGTATTCAGCAATAGGTCTTACGCATGTTTTATAGAGAATTGTTCTGGATTCTCTATGAAGGAAGTTACGAAAGATGAAACCAAGCATTCTTCTCATTCGAGAAACTTTATTGGAGATATGTTCGGAGAAGTTAAGGTTGTGCGAATAATGCACTCCAAGATCAGTTATGGATGTGAGTTTGGGCAATACATTCCTGCTGAGAATGAGATCTAATTTGGGAGACATGTCCCCGAAACACATCCAGCCACACTTCTCAGTATTAAGTTCAAGGTTCCATTGCTTACACCAGACATCTACAGTATTGAGTTCGTGCTGGATTGTGTGCAACAAGTTTCCTAAGTCAGATTTGCTAGTTTGATAAATCACTTTTAGGTCATCCGCATAGAGGTAGGTTTTACCAGTGTTGAAACAACTGCATATGCTGTTGATGTAGATTATGAAAAGTAGTGGACCCAAAACACTGCCCTGCACAACACCACTGGTAATTGGTCGAGGTGTAGATGTATGTGAGTTGATTTTGGTAATCTGATATCTATCTGTGAGGAACGACCTAATCCATTGCAACAGGTGGCCACTAATACCGACGGACTGAAGTCTGTTGATTAAAAGACTGTGAGGTACCTTATCGAAAGCCTTTTTGATATCAAAATACAACACGATTACTAGTTGCTTTTGATCGCGTATGCTGGTAACCTCATTAAAGAAATCTAAAAGACATGTGGTGCATGACCTAGTTTCTTCACAAGTCACAAGACCAAATCCCTTTTCGACAACTAGCGCAACCATTCATAAAAGCATATGAAATGTTTATACAATAAAGAAGACCTGAAGGAAAATTCTACCTGATGGTAGGTTGAATCAGTAAAACGTATTAAACATCAAAGACTAGCTTCAGGAAACATGCTGTTATACTCTAACCATGAAGAAGTAAATACCTCATACACGCAAGGAGTTGTATCGATGCCTTGCAAGAAAGCACAAAATTGATAGTGAAGAATGTGCGAGAGGACCGAGGTGTAAGCAAGGGAGAGGGGACAGAGACAGTAGGTGAGATAGATTAAGTTAGTGATCTGAGGAGATGGCAATAATAACAACCAGTAAGTTTCAAGACATGCATCAGCACAGTTTTTCCAAGAGGGAGATGATAATCTGTATGTGAGTATGTGTTTATCGAGTCTTCTGAAAGCTGTCCACCGAGGAGGCTGTGGTCACCTCTGCTATGAGAGCATTCCAAGTTGCAACAATTCTCAATGAGAAAGAGTGTGCACGAACCTGAGTGTCCGCTTGTTGATGCGCAATTTTTCGAGGATTGCCTCGAGAGGATTGGTGGTGATGCATCGGTAAGGTGCTCACGTTGGTATGGTTTGGTGGGCTTGAAATGTTGTGCGCCATAGCCAGATCACCTATGACTCTCCTGTAACTCAGATAGCATTATCTTAAGTGCTGGAGTCTGTGTTTGTGCGGTTTGTTCTTCAGCTCTATCACTCATTTTGGCGGATGTTATGTAAGTTACACGTTCTCCTCATATTTAACCCTAACATTCATCCCTACTGGCCACATCGTCACTGTTTTCCTTGGAATAGTAGGTTAATGTAATTATAATCGTTGAGGTTCATTATCGCATTAAGGCGAAAAGATAATCAGACGTCTAAACCAAAATTATGGTTTTTTCGGTAGTTATTGTGTGAATATTTTACAACCGCTCTTGTTTGACCTGTTTACTTTTAAGGTCTATTATAAAGGCCGTTTGTTAACCCATACTGTAACAACTCAGAATCTACACCCTATTCGCTCTCAGTTTACCCTTACGGTTTCTCTGAATCGGAAGCGTATGTGATTGCTGATTGTTGTTTAATATTGTCATTAATAACTTTGGATGCATATACTCGCTCTCCGGGTTGTCGAGTCACCTTTAATTTGTCCTCTTCTACCTGTTCACTCCTCTCATGCTTCTCAAAATGTTCCGCTAGCTCACCAGGTATCTTCAGAGTAAACGCGATATGGTGCTCATCTTAGTGCATTGTTAGAGATTTTTGTCAAAAATTTAAGTTTAAGATAGTATCGGTTAGTCTCGATGCTATCCTCTACACCGGTCTATAACAAATTAAACAAGAATGAGGACACTAGAGCAAATTTTAGCCAATGAATGCGACATTGGCTTAAAAGCGCAGGCCTTGTATTAAAATACGAATTGAAACTTTATTTACGGCATTGATTTATCTTACGATATCACTACACTGTTTATAAAATGAGATGAGAAATTAATCTATTTAGTTGTCATACTGTAAGTAAAATGACTGATTGACAACGTTTCATTTATGTTCTACATGTTACGTCCTTGAACCGTGTGCCAACAATATACAGGAGGTAACGTTGTCTTAATCTAGTTCAAAGGCATTGACGCAATAGGCTATCTAGTTAAGCTTGAGACTAGTAGCACGTTAGTCTAGTTATGATTAAACGGCCTTGTTATGGGAGAAAAACAATTATTTCATCGAGTGTGCTAGTAAGCGAGAGAGAAAAATTAACCGGCTTGGTTGCTACTCGATTTGTTAAAAAAGACACGAGTAAAAACATACTTTGAAAAAACACAACCCACAAGGATTTAGGAAAATACAGTTCTTTCCAAGCCAGCCGTTTAGAATAGAAAAATAAAGTATGGGGGTTACATCTAAGTTACTATATTTTTGGAATAAAACTGAATATGACTGTAAATCATACATTAACCAAAAGCCTACAATTTGCAGAATAAGGTAAGATCAGACATAAATGCTAGTGTTTAACGGGCTTCTGATTGGGTACAGTAATGTTTCCATAATGAGCTATTGTTGGTCAGTCTCTTTGTTTCCCTCTTCACACCATTAAAACTTTGTTAAAAATTACTGTAAGTCTTACATGTTAGTTATGAAGATATAAAAGTAAACCCTAATATAATGGTTAGATTAATAAATTACATATTGATACCGAACGTATAACTTTTATGATCATATTATTCCTTGTCTGACCACTTTTCTTGCATTACAGTTTTTTTTTATCTATTTACAGGAAATGAATGAATTTGCAGCTTTATATATCGATGTTTGTCAACGTGTTTCAGGTTGTCTTAAGGAGACACTAAAACCGTTTGATGGTATAGATACAGTGGCTACTCATGGTGGATATAATCCAATAAATTTAGAAGAAATAGGACGTCCTGTTGTCCCACCAATAAGTTTGTCATCTACCTTCCAACAGATTTCTCCTGGTGTTGCAAAAGTAATAACGTTTTGTTCTACAAAAAATTGCTTAAGTATGACTATTCTAGGTCTGGAAATTTCTCTCGAGAGTGCTTGGAAAAGTGCATAGCATCTCTGGAAGACGGTGATGACTGCTGTGTCTTCAGTTCTGGTCTTGCAGCCTTAGGAACTCTTATCCAGACCTTATCAAATGGTGATCACATTGTTGCGTTCGATGATCTATACGGAGGTTTGTTATTTTAACACCTTGATTTCTATAGACGTGTTTAAAATTGATGTGGTAGTGAGAGAAAAATGTGGTTGATCATCGAGTGTAGACAAATAGGCGCAGCCTACTGACTTACGTGATTTTATTTCCTTTAGTGTATTCTACTCCGGACTTACTATGACTGCTTGTAATTGTGGGAAATAAGATATTGTATGTTCCTTACTCTGGTTCTCTATTTCGGTTGTGAATAGTGTATTTGGTTTAACGTGATCTAGTCTCTGAGTGGTGAGCCGTTCAAGTATTTTAATGCATAGTAATATAAAGTCGGTCATGTATTTAGTCTCTATATATAATATGGTGGATAAGAAAGCATTCCGTACTTCCGTTATGACAAAAATGTATTATTAATCCTGTGATTTAAAAATTAATTATTGGATACCTTCTATGCTGTAGGACAGCTCGTATATATGCTGTGACTCTTGTAAAGTGTTATGTGCTTCAGATCACTAAATAATGGTTTTTTCATTTATTTGTTTTACCGTAATAATTTGCAAAACAATCCAAGTTTTTGTAAGTTAATAAATGAGCAATAGATTGATAGATTCTGCATTGAAAACGCTGAGCGAATCTTTGTAATAAGTTATATCGCTTAATAATCTCAAACTGGCTAATTTTTGTCGGTCAAAAAAGAGATTCTTATATAAATATAAGAAACTTTAAATGTTTTTTTTATCGATTCCATCTCAACACCAACTCACCAAAACTCTGGTACCAATGTTTCGGTAGGTGCAGACTATCTGGTTGGGGTCTATGAGACAATCGTGACCAGTTGTTAGAGACTTTGAATGGCATAGCTTAAAATCGCTTGCAGTGATGAAGATGCGTCCATTCTTTACTTACTTACTTACTTTCGCCTGTTACCCCCAATGGAGCATAGGCCGCCCACCAGTTTTCTCCAACCAACTCTGTCCTGGGCTTCCCTCTCCAGTTCTGTCCAATGTTTGTTCATTCCTCTCATATCTTTCTCTATTTCTCGGCGTAGTGTGTTCCTTGGCCTTCCTCTTTTCCTTTTGCCTTGAGGGTTCCATGTGAGGGCGTCCATTCTTTACTCCCCCCAAATTCTAATCTTCTGAATTCCTCATGACATTTTTTCGATTTTTGAATTTATTTCATTGGATTATAATTCTCGAATCACATCTTTGATCCTTAGTCATTTCCGTTACTTTAATACTGCTACAACCTCAACTATTATGTTATTTGAATTGAAAATCCCATATCTCCGTGCTAATGTGTCGTGGCAACGCTGTAGCTAACTGACTAACTGTTTTATTCGCAAACTCTAATGTAAAAGCTCTTCCGTTCACTAAGTGCAGTTTGCTAACGTTTGTATTCAAATTTATTTCAGTCTTCATTAGGTACTTTGGAAGCATTCTGAGTTATCAGCATAAGATGAGTCAAGCCATTTTAATCGACAATCTTGGTGAATATGACATCGCTTCAGATCACTAACTTAATCTATCTTACCTACTGTCTCTGTCCCCTCTCCCTTGCTTACACCTCGGTCCTCTCGCACATTCTTCACTATCAATTTTGTGCTTTCTTGCAAGGCATCGATACAACTCCTTGCGTGTATGAGGTATTTACTTCTTCATGGTTAGAGTATAACAGCATGTTTCCTGAAGCTAGTCTTTGATGTTTAATACGTTTTACTGATTCAACCTACCATCAGGTAGAATTTTCCTTCAGGTCTTCTTTATTGTATAAACATTTCATATGCTTGTATGAATGGTTGCGCTAGTTGTCGAAAAGGGATTTGGTCTTGTGACTTGTGAAGAAACTATGATTTCATCGTGAGACTTCATGATTATTCTTAATAATGACTTTCCCCATACCCGAGTAGGATATATATGGTTTGAATTACCTTTTCTGATAGCGTTTTTGGCAGGTTAGTTTTCTGCGGGATGGAGCTGTGAAACACATGCCCAACCCTTCTCCTTCATATGGGCTGGGGCTAGCAGTGATCTCAGAATGGCTCCAGGAGGTGTTTCAGCCAGTGTACATGTGTGTGTTATTCACCAGAGCCAGACGTAGAAAGACGGCGCAATATGGAGGCTGAAATACCAGAAGATATAACTTCTTACGAGAAGTTGCAATCCTGTTACCGTTCCACACTGTAATAGTGTTGAAGTCATTTATACTATTATTTTAAAATATATGAATATAGGTTGCAGAAATTTACCCATAAACTACTTACTTTAATAACTTACGCCTGTTACCCCCAATGGAGCATACGCCACCCACCAGTTTTCTCCAACCAACTCTGTCCTGGGCTTCCCTTTCTGATTCTGTCCAATTTTCGATCATTCCTCTCATATCTTTCTCTATTTCTCACCGTAATGTGTTCTTTGGCCTTCCTCTTTTCCTTTTGCCTTGAGGGTTCCATGTGAGGGCTTGTCTCGTGACGCAGTTAGGTGCTTTCCGCAATGTGTGTCCTACCCACTTCCACCGCTTCTTCCTGATTTCCTCCTCCACTGGAATCTGGTTTGTTCACTCACACAGTACGTTGTTGCTGATGGTGTCTGGCCAACGGATCCGAAGTATTTTGCGAAGACAACTGTTAATCAACACTTGCATCTTCTGGATGATGGCTTTGGTAGTTCTCCAAGTTTCCGCTCCATACAATAGAACTGTCTTGACATTTGTATTGAAAATCCTGATTTTGGTTTTGGTTGAAAGTTGTTTGGAGTTCCAGATATTTTTCAACTGTAGAAATGCAGCCCTTGCTTTGCCGATCCGCACCCTCACATCTGCATTGGATCCACCTTGGTTGTAGATGATGCTGCCAAGATATGTAAAGGTGTTAACGTCCTCTAAGGCATCTCCATCAAGAGTGATTTGGTTGGTGCATGCTGTGTTGCATCGGAGAATTTCGCTTTTGCCTTTATGTATGTGGAGACCTGATGCTGCAGAGGCTGCTGCCACACTGGTCGTCTTCTCTTGCATTTGTTGTTGCGTGTGCGATATAAGAGCCAGATCATCTGCGAAGTCCAGATCGTCCAGCTGCGTCCAAACTGTCCAGTTAATACCGTGCTTCCCTCCAGATGTCGACGTCTTCATAATCCAGTCGATCACCAGGAGAAAGAGAAAGGGTGAGAGTAAGCAACCTTGCCTGACACCGGTCTTCACCTCGAACGAGTCTGTTAGCTGTCCATCGTGTACGATTTTGCAGTTGAATCCATCATAAGAATTCCGTATGATGTTAACTATTTTCTCAGGCACACCGTAGTGTCGAAGAAGCCTCCACAGTGTTTTCCTATCCACGCTACCGAATGCTTTCTCGTAGTCGATGAAGTTGATGTAGAGTGGTGAATTCCATTCTATTGATTGTTCCACAATGATCCGTAATGTTGCGATTTGGTCAGTGCGCAATCGATCCAGTTTAACGATACCCTGTTGAAGACTTTTCCTGGTAGTGAGAGAAGAGTGATGCCTCTGTAGTTCTCATACTTGCTGAGATCGCCTTTCTTTGGTATTTTGATGAGGTATCCTTCTTTCCAATCTGATGGTACTTGTTCCTCATCCCAAATCTTCTTGAAGAGAATGTGAAATATTTTCGCAGTTGATTCTACATCTGCTTTCATTGCCTCTGCTGGAATGTTGTCTGGTCCTGCTGCTTTACCGCTCTTGATTTGTCTGATGGCCATACTGATCTCTTCAGTTGTTGGTGGGCCAACATCGACTGGGAGGTCCGTAGACGCTGGTTCGATGTTGGGTGTGTTCAGTGGAGCTAATCGATTCAAGAGTTCTTCAAAGTGCTCTACCCACCTGCTTCACTGCTCTTCAATGTTGCTGATTACTTTCGCTTCCTTGCTTTTTACTGCTTGTTCTGGTTTACGAAAATTCCCAGAGAACTTCTTTGTTGTATCGTACAACTGTATCAATTTCTGAGAGCTATTTTGAATTCGTTGAGCTGTACAGTATCCTGAAGAAAGGCCGTATTAAACTTGTGTGATGTTGTCTGCCCCGTTATCTAGTGTTTCTTGAGTTTCAGTTTTATTTTAGCGACCAGCAAGTGTTGGTCTGAGAATATATCAGCTCCTCTCTTCGTCCTCACATACTCCATGGTTCTTCTGAACTTTTCGTTGATACAGATATGGTCGATTTGGTTCTGAGTAGTGTGGTCCGTTGAAATCCATGTAGCTTTGTGTATGCGTTTGTGCGGGAATATTGTGCTGCTGATGACCAGTTTGTTGAAGGCGCATAGGTTTGCCAATCTCTCACCACTTTCGTTCCTTTCTCCCAGTCCATGTCTTCCCATGATGTCTTCATATCCAGTGTCGTCCACGCCAACTATTGCATTCAGATCTCCCATCAGGATGGTCAAATCCTTTGGTGAGCATCTATCGACGATTGACTGCAGCCTTTCGTAGAATTGATCTTTAACGTCGTCATTGTAGTCATTGGTAGGTACATAGCATTGGATGACGTTCATTGTAATGTCCTGTTTCTTTGTTTTGAAGGATGCTTTAATGATCCTGGGTCCATGAGATTCCCATCCTATCAGTGCCTTTTGTGTTTGTTTGGACAGCATCAGTGAAGCATTTTCCTCTTCATGACCAGAGTATAACAACAGTTCCCCTGCAGCTAGCCGAGCACCTCCAGGTTGTATCTTCTCATTTCTGCTGCAGCTTGAAATAGTCTTCAGGTCTCCCACAATGTTCGAGCGTTCCATGTTCCTAAAAGAATGGTTACTCTGGTTGTCAGAAGAGGCATCGACCCCGTGACTTCCGATGGAACTCGGCTTTCATCACGCGATGTCATAATTCTTCTTGCAACTCCCAGGGCAGAGTTAAAAATGTTTGAACTAGATTTTCTGGTCAGCATTACTTTAGCAAGTTAGTTTTTTGGTGGGATGGGGACTGCAACCCCATGCCAAACCTCCTCCTCCTTTATCCGGGCTTGGGACTGGCAGTAGCCTCGAAGTGTCGACAGGCGGATTTATTGGTACTGTTTCAGTGTACTGATTTGGTTTCTTACCTGGTAGATAGACAGTTGTGTTTTTTTTGGTGAGTGTTCGTTTTTCGCCACGGGGAATTTACGGTTAATAAACAAAGTATAAGGGAAGACATTGAAATATAGTCAGGTAATTACAGTGAATCTTGTATCAGAACTACGATCATTTATCGATGTTAATACCTGAATAATCAATAATTTTTGCATGCCAGCTGACTATCATTCTACTAAGTTTTTAGCTTAGTTTGCCTCAAAATTTGCTAACACATTCATTTTACCAATTCGTTTGTATATGATTTGTAAGATTCTTTATATTTGAATAGGAAATGGGCGATATCTGCGTCGACTTGCTTCAAAATCTGGAATAACATCGACTTTCGTTGACATGCGTGACTTGAAATTGTTTCAACAGGCGTTACAGACGAATACTCGTTTAGTCCTTGTGGAATCTCCATCAAATCCTTTAATGCGTTTGGTCGATATAAATGCTGTTGCCTGTATTGCTCATGAGTTTAATAAAGAAATTATTGTTGTAGTTGACAATACTTTTATGAGTTCGTATTTTCAGGTAAGCAAAATTATTTCATCAAACAACTTTTTGAGATAATCCTAAGTATATATGCCAAAGCTGTTACTTTATGCCCACTTTAAACTCTGTGTATTAGAAAAGAAAGTCTTGTGTGAAAATAGGTTTATGTCCACATAAGACAGAAGTTTACTCCCCAGTAGTGTTCACATTCATCTCAACCCACGGTTCCTACACTTTCACTAGGCGCTGGATCTAACTTCCTGAAATAGTTTATCTATAATCACTGTTTAGATATTTTGAAGTATAATACATGGTACTTTGGTATAACACTCTGCTCAATTTATGTTGCTACTACATTCTTGTATTTAATATTTTTTATCGGGATGTGACCATAAAAACATTGAACCTTTGGTTATTTTAATTAATAAAGTGCTGAGTCGTTAATAATTATTACTAGGAAATACTTTATCAAATTACTACGAGTGTTTCCTCTATATAGCCGGAGTTTTGTAAATTAAAACGTTTCGCGACAGTTCGCTCGTTGTATTTAAATCATAAAAATGGCTCGTGATATGACCATGAGACTATCCACATAAATTATTGTTTACTTAAGGTTAAAACAATATTCGTAACTGTCATTCTATTTTATCATACTCTAAAAATTTTGAACATACATAAAATAAATAAAATATTTTTCATGATTCTGAAGTCATTTATTATTGATATCCGACCGCATGTTTCCGTTTACAGTGGTCTTAAATTCAACCCTAGACTGATTGTGGATTTTTGAAATATATCAATTTCTCAAATGACCCTATTCCATTCAAAACAATTAGCCCTTTCACACATTTTGATAGAACAATGAGAGTCTGTAGTTGACCCGAAAAATTTGATGTATTCGCGTTATGCATTTTGAAAAATTTAATGACGCATATACTTGTCAAGGCATGTCATATGAAAATTAATAAAAGGTTAATTAAATGAAGGTTCAAATAAACATAAGATGATAATTGTAAATAAAGGAGAGACAAAATGAACGCAGAATAGGAAGAATAAGAAATTGTCACATTATCCTAGGCCACAAAATGACTTAAAGATTACCAGGGTAAATTCAAGGTTGTAACAAATTGTTTCTGTACATATAAAGGGGGTGGTTGAATTTGCGGATAGCCGAGTCTTCCATGCACCTAAAAATTCGTCCTTGAACGTGTTCATACAATATTTTAAAGGCTGTCTTGATGTTGATCCTATGCGCCGTCTCACTTCTGTTTTGCTGTCGATAAACATGGTTTCTATTTCCCACGTTTATAGGTTCATCTGATTTTAAGTGACTTTGAAGCCATTATGGAACATATTCCGTAACCCTCGATCACAATGTTGGATTACTCCTCCCTATGTATGTGTCCACACCAACATGTAAATTGATAAATGCAATCGGATGTGATGTAATCGTTCGAGTGATATCTAGGCCTATATGGAATCATGAGCTTAGTCCTTTCGATTATAATCAGTCTAGCAGCATAGAATGTTTTCTCTATGGCTGCTTTTAATCTGTTTTACGATTAAACCATTTGATTCACCTGTAAATGGTGAAGAGATTTAAACACTTTTCTTTTCCACAGGATAAAAGACAGGCTTTTGGCTTAACTGATTTCTACACTTATCTAAATCAGGGTTTCAATCAAGAATTTAGTATCGTCGTTAAATGTATCTGTAGTGCATATTTTTCGTGTCTTATTGAAGAGCCATTTTACCAATCCTGGCATGTACTGCAATGGATAAACACTGGAGATTTAAATATTGCCCAGTTGACGTTAGTTCCATATAAACTTACCATTTTATAGTTCCATCCTCCCTTCCACTCAACAGTATGTCTGAAAAGCAGGATTGGTCATTAATTTCTGCTCTGTAGGTCAGGAAAATATCATTCAGAAGACTATCGAAATTATCCAGTATCTGAGAAACATTTAAATCGTTATCCCATAGCCGAGTCTTCCGTATAGCACGTTTTGTACAATGTTTTGTTTTGTCAAAATTTATTAGAACGGACTGATTGTTTTTAATTTCTAAAAAGAAGACTTCGTTCTGTGTTAAACAGTTGGATGAACTTACTAATGTTGAGCGGAGAATCGCTTCTGGGAAGGTAAAGATGGAGCTTAACAATCCATGCATAGCCAGACACATACTTCCCAGACAGTGCTAACATGTTTTTGATGCGAATCTTCCACTCAAAATGCAGAATGTTGTTTAAGGATTGGTTTTCATAGGCACTTGAACTGGTGATAGAAAGTGAGGTATTTGAGCACGTCGATCACTGCTTTTCTCGGCAGTCACATCAGTCTTCATGACCTGGTGTCTGACGAAATCCCAGCACAGATACAGAGGCTTTAACTAGCTTTTGCAAACTTGCGTTTCTTATGATATAGGGCGAGGTCTACTAACCATTTTACAGGTGTGAAACATGGCCAGTTAGAGTAGAAGATATTCTCAGGTTACTAGTGTTCTATTGTAGGTGTCTTCGAAGCATTTTTCGTATATCCTGGGACCGTCAAGTAAGTAATGCCGTTGTTCGGGAACGGATACTAGGTAACGATGACAGATCAATAAATGGAGTAGTAAGCCTTCATCAGTTGAGGTGGCTGAGACGTATGCTACCTATGTACAACCAGTCACCGACTACCTCACCGTGCGATGTTGCGTGATGTACGGGTAAGCTGGAAGAAAATTAGGAGTGGCCATGCCAAAACACTGCACAAATCCATGAAGTCACTGACAACTGGACTGGGCGAAACATTTGAATGCCTTAAGGTATCATTGTAGTAGTTCGGAAATTGTGATTCTTAAACCTAACAAAGATTCTGGCCGAATTTCAGTGAACAAATAGTGATATAAATAGTGATGAAGGGGAGTTATCGACAAACGCTTCATCTGTTAAAGAAGTTAGAAAATTGGAATCGAGAGTTAACTCCAATCTAATAAAGCTCCTTTGAATGAAAGTTATTAACAAGGAGGAATTCAACATATTAAGAGCCACCGGCTCTAAACTCCAGTATTTATACTGATTACCTAAAATTCATAAACCTGCTAATCCATCACGAACAATATTATCTATGCGCGGTTCACCTTCACATGAGCTAGAGAAACGGTTAGCTAACTTACTCAACCCAATGCGTAACAAATTGTGTATGTTTACTCTGACAGGTACATTTGATATGGTTGATTACTAAAATAATAATAAAGAAAAGACTATGCATTCCTTTGAACTTAACTCCCTTTCTGCCAATGTAGCTTTAAACTGAACTGTTAATTTTCCTTGTGACTTGACATGGAGTAATTAACAACTTTTCCTATTTCTATCAACTCTACTCAAAGAGCTACATTTATTAAGTACTGAAAAAGTTCCTTCAACGTTTGAAGGTGGACATTTGTAACAAGGTAACGGATTTCCTTTGTGTAGTCTCTCTTAGTTGATGTGTATATGACATACGTCGAAATTATGTTGAGCAAGCTTATCAGTGTGGTTACTCTTTATAGGAGATATATAGATGATATATTGGTTCTATGGGATAACGATTTTTCGGATCATCTGTGTTTCCATTGTTCTGTGAAGATTTTTTGACAGTTATGATAATATAAATGAAGTTTACAATGAGTAGAGTCTATGGTTTTCAATATGATAAAATATATAATCACTATATGATGTACATTTAATTGTGTAATTGTTATTTGGTTAAATTATGATCATAAAACCACGGTGTAACCTAATGTAATCAATGAAATTCACCATCATTTAATTTCTTTAGGGAGACAGATGTTTGTTGATATAACGTGTAATACTCTTCAAATATTTACGAATAATTGTCATACTTATTGAACAAGTTACTGTTAATCTGAATTCAACAGCTTTGTGAATAACTAGTCGTGGTTTGAAGCAGTAAGTATCAAGTCATCGTGAGAATATGAACACTAGAATTCTAGGACATCCAGTTGATTAATCCCGAACCGTAATAAATGAGCTTCTTCGGTTCTGCTACACACTTCTACTATTTGAATGTGTTAACAGATAATTTCTACTTTATTCCGTTTTAACAAGGGATACTCACATTTTGGAGAATGTATTTAAAGAAATTAAATTATAGGCTTACAGATGTTCGTGTTGAAATTAATAGCGGCTCGTAAAAGTGACTTTATTAAGCATTTATATTATAGACTCAAATGTCCGATTCCCTGTTATATCACTATTATATATATATAATAGTCCATCAAGTTAATATTAAACCATGTACTTTTTTTCAGCGTCCACTTGATCATGGAGCAAATGTTGTCTTACACTCCCTCACAAAGTATATGAATGGTAAGCTCTTTTTATACTATAAAAAAGGTTGATTAATTTCCTTACATCACATATTTTTTTGAATTGCGAAGCATTGCATAAAATCTCTAACCAGATAAATAACACTTCCATACTTGTGGGGATTTGTTTGAACTCAAAAGATTTTCCTTATGAGTATTTAATGTCCATTTGTTGATGTGAAACTAAGTATGTGTCAGTCTCAGCTACCATTAAAATAAAGAACTTATTGCTGATTGATTAGTAACTGTTATATGGTATTTGTTTGGTGTACAGGTAATTACCTTTCTTGAGATCTCCATGATTCTATTACGCCTTTAGTGACAGCCTGTGCGCTGAAACCATAATAGAGTTGAACAATGAGGTTAATTGACTGTCCGGCTTTACTTTATACTGTATCATTATTACTGTTGTTCAATGGAATTCATGTTTTCATTATGTAGTGTACAATATGCTGATGTAACTACAACTTTAACTTATGTACACATTTGAATTTCTATTGAACATAAAATCAATAGTCGATAATCTAGTTTTCAATTTACTAAAGGACTTATTCAGATACCCAAAAACTCATTATTAAAGACATTTTCCGTTTCTGTTTTCAGGTCATTCCGATGTAGTTATGGGCGCATTGGTTACACGTAATCAATCAGAATTACATAAACAGCTTAGATTCGTTCAGTTTGCTGCAGGAGCTGTTCCATCTGCATTTGATTGTATGTTGTGTCTTAGGGGACTACGCACGTTACCAGTACGAATGAAGGCGCACATGCGAAATGGACTTATAGTGGCTATGATGCTTGAGAAACATCCGCTGGTTGAAAAAGTCTTACATCCAGGTACATTTCCCTAAGCATTTTTAATACAATACAGTGGAGAGTTTCAATCGTATCGATAACAGCAAACATTTACAAATAATCTTAAAATCGAAACTAATCAGGGGCTTATGCTTTATATCATAAGATGTTTATCAAAGCAATCACGAGTAATTGGCAAAGAAGTAAAAGGAAGATGCGGAAAAAGTTACAAATATCTGATGGTGTTAATTGATAAACGGATGATTTAAAACATGTAGTTAGAGAAGTGATGCTTGTAAAATATTATCTAGTATGTCAGTTGACAAGAGCTTTGATAATAAATCAGATACGTAAGCATAAATATACTGCTGCAACTAAGCAACAAAACGAGTAAAGTTTTGAGGAAAAGACATTGGAAATGTGATGAGTCATCTGTATACAACTATGGAGTTAGCTATTTTGATTTCTACATTAGGGAGGGCGTTTGTACAAGTTTCTTACAAATAAATAAGACCTGTTTGTCAAGATGAACACTGAGTACTTCAGTTATGTGTATGAGACACAAGCCTAAACCATGTGGCGAATTCAATGGAACCCAGTGCACAATTTGAAAAACTTTAATTACAAGTGTGGTGTAAAGCCTAAGTGTAACACTAATTGCAAAAAAATATTTTTCTGCTTTTTTCTATATATCTAAATAAGTATTTTGGCTTTACTAAAAAGATTTAATTATATGAAAAATTAATGTCTGATTCATGTGGCACAGTCATAAGTAAATTCGTAAAACACATAAGGGATAGAGGGCTGTTTGTGTAATATGTACTTATTTCAGTCGGACTTTATTGATTCCTGTGAATAATCTCCGATTATCAGCATCAACCCTTGATGTGTATCTCAAAGTGTGAATTCCTGAACCAAGTGATTATTTGATAGAATTTCGATTTATCCTTATCACTACAGCAGTCAGAAACATGAGAACATATAAGACGTAGTATAGCATGGAAATTTGAGGTAAATATTTCCTACAGATTTTTCCTATCCGTTTAGAGTGATGTCATCATAATTCAGATCTCATAGTAAGTTATTTCTACAAACTTTCACACTTGTTTTCTTGTAAACATCAATCAATATATGCCATCTTTTACAATAAGCCATTTCCTATTTTCAACGTTTTTTCTAATATTAAAGGCTTAGAATCATTTCCTCAACGAGATGTTGTAGCGAAGCAGATGCGTGGTTTTAGTGGTATGATAAGTGTATATCTGCGGTGCACTGCGGATCAAACAAAAATGTTTATCAAAAATCTGAAGGTAACTATGTTAATGTATATGAATGATATGAGAGTTCTAGTTTTTTTATTGATACTAGATTAAAAAATATCGATAGTGGGGAGCAATACAAACAACTTACTAAATGGATTTTTTCGAGCTATGTATTACTTACTGAAGCTAGACAATCTAATGTTGTACAGCTTTGGCAAATGGCATTGTCTAAAAGGTTTCTTACACTGAATACTTTTTTCTCTTCCTCAAACTCGATCATATTTCTTCTGCTTTATAAAGTGATGACGCTTCCTTTGTACAAAAGTACTTTTAGCTTAACAGCAATCATTACAAGAATTCAAGGCCCTGGAATGAATCCGTGGTTCCCGTTTAAATACACATTTGTGCATTCTTGTCCTTCTGAAGTGAGGGAAGAAAGATTATAATTCCATACTCTAAGAGGGGCCGAATAAGGTTTTAAGGTTGAGGTAGAATAATTCATTGTCAAACTGGTTAAAAATCCGTCCCAATGTTGCTATTGTAAAGTTTGCTTGGAAGGTCGTTTTGTCATAACTGAGTAGAGCTATTCATGGTGATAAGAGAGATGTTAGAGGGTGTAGGAAGGATTTGATTTTGACCGATTTGGTCTCGTGTGCTGTTACGGGTATGAGGGCGGTTGTTACTTCACGGCATTCCACACCGTGGAAGGTTGTTTCTTGAGGAACCTGAAAAGGAAGATAGATTAGTGTTGGTCTAGGAGACCTGGGAGCGTGACCGCAGAGTCCAAGGGACAACTGCTTGAGGCCGGTCACGCACGGCCTTTTTATGAGAAATTTTTGTGTGTTAGCTCCGCTCTTAAAGGCCTTCAGTGGGCACCCTTACCACCGGAGACGGAAATCCGTGAGGTAGGGTGAGGTGTGACATTTTTAGGGTCGACCTTTTCTAACCCTTCCTTCCTTGCGAGAAGGCTGCATCGCTGCAGATGCTGGTTGTCCGAGGGAAACATATCATATCCCTCTGCAGTCAGCAGTACGGCTATCACCTCGTGGACCCCAACCAGGTAGTCGACACCTACAAACACTGCTCAGTCCACTTGACAGTAACTTCAAGGATTTTTGCCATGTTTTATTCTAGCCGCCCCTAGCTTTATTCCAACCTATTCCCACATCGCAAAACATAGCTCGACGAGGCAGTCGGTGGTTAGGCATACGTAACACATGTCCCAAACACCTCAAATGATGAAGTTTCAATTCTTCATCTATTGGACTGCCATTAGTCAGTCAGTCAGATGCAACGTAGAACTTTGTACGTAAGTACATCAGTTCATGTTGCCATACCTTATGAGCACAGAGATATAATTGTCAATTCAAATCCAATAGTAGAAGAGGTAGTAAAGGTATTAGAAGTAATCGGAGAGGTTAGGATTAGAAGATATTTTTCAAGAAGTATGATTCAGTGAGATAAGTTTAGAAAGTCAAAACTAGAGGTGCTGAAGAATCCAGAAGATCAGGTTTGAGAGAACACAAAGAATAAATGCACCGGCGCTATGGCGAACGATTTTGAGCCATGTCATTCAGGGTCTCTAACCATCGATTATAATCATCTCGCGGACCCCAACCAGGTAGTCAACAATTACCGACATGGCTAAGTCCACTCGTCAATGACTTCATGGATTTCTGCCATGTTTTGGTCTTGTCAACACTAGCTTTCTTCCAACCTATTCCTACACTACGAAACAAGCTCTTCGAGACAGTCGGTGGTTAGACATGCGCAGCACATGTCCCAACCACCTCAACTGATGAAGTTTCACCACTACATCTAGTGATCTGCCATTCTTACCTAGGACCCGTTTCCTAATAACAGCATTGCTCACTCGGGTGTCTCAGGATATACGAGCAATGCTTCGAAGACACCTATGATCGAAAACCAATAACCGACGAATATCTTCTACTCTCACTGGCCATGTTTCACAGCCATAAAGTAAGACGGAGCGAACTACTGCGCAGTACACTCGTCCTTTAGTCAGCAAACGGATATCTCGCCTACGCCATAAGTGACGCAGGTTGGCAAAAGCCAATCGAGCCTTCTGTATACGAGCTGAGACTTCGTCAGTCACCAGGCCATCAGCACTGATGAGACTCTCCAGATACCTGAAGCGGTCTACACGTTCGGCCACTTCACTCCCTATCACTAGTTCAGGTGCCGATGAAACCCAGTCTTGAAGCAACATTTTGCATTTCGAGGGGGAAAACCGCATCCCGAACATGCTTGCATTGCTGCTTAGGGTGGTCAGAATACTCTGAATTTTGTCAGCGTCTTCACCAAGTGGGACTTTGTCATCGGCATATTCTAAGTCAATAAGCGAGCCAGCATGTAAAAGGTCTACTCCTGAAATTTCAGACGAAGATAAGGTTATTTCTAGGAGCATGTCTATGATAAAATTAAACAAGAATGGAGAGAGTGAACATCCCTGACGCACACCATTTGAAGTAAAGAATTCCGATGACAGTTCGCCATAAGCTCTCACTCCACCAGTGATGTTCGAGTAGAGGGCTTGAATAAGGTTAATGTACTTATTTGGTACACCTTTCAATGACAGACACTGCCACAGAACCTCACGGTCCACTGGGTCGAATGCCGCCTTAAGGTCCAGGAAGACAACTATTGTAGGACGCCTAAATGTATGTCTGTGTTCCAGGACCTGACGTAGTGTGAAGATGTGGTCTATACAACAACGTCCAGGTCGAAAACCAGACTGGTTTTCTCTAGTCTGCTCTTCGTGAGATTTCGTTAAGCGTCGAAGTATTATTGTGGCCAATATTTTAGATACCATATTGGTTAGACTGATTCCCCTGTGATTGTCACAAGAAGACTTTTGTCCTTTCTTATAGATTGGGACAATCAGTGATTTAGACCAGTCGAACGGGATTACATCCAGTTCTCAGATTCTACCTGAGATCTCAGTCAACCTAGCTGCTAAAGCTGGACCGACATCCTTAAATATCTCAGGAGTCAGTCTATCAGGACCTGCAGCTCGTCCTCGCTTCAGATTTCCTAACGCTTTTTCAGCGTCATAGAGAGTCGGGGGACTTACGTCGATTCGCCATTCAGGATGACTGGAGATCGTGGGTAACCGAAGAGTGGCTCGAGGCCAGTTGAACTGATCCCTAAAGTGTTATGCCCATCGATCTAAACTCCTAGATTGAGAATGAATAATGAAGCCATCCTTTTCCGAGATAGCTTCACTTACTTTTGGGTTCCTAATACCAGTTTCCTTGATGAGTCTGAATAATTGACTAATGTTGCCTATCGCCGTTGCCTTTTAAATCTCCCTTGCTGTCGCTACCGATCACTGTTGTCGATCATTGCGAAGCCTTTTTATCAGCCTGCTCCTGAGCTGAATCCGCTCCTCATCGTACTCAGAGCCAGGCGGGATGAGCTTTCGAGCATTCATCAGTTCGGTAGATGCTGCTGAAATCCACGGCTCCTACCTCAGGGGTCGGCAGCATGTTTTCGGGAACAGAAAAAATAATTCAATTGGTGTAACCGTGAAGCATTGACTTCGGTGGCTCGGTCATGAGCTACCGATGATGTTCCAAAGAATTCCACATCCTTAATTACTTTCCAAAGCTGGGATTGATCGGAAAAAGCGGAGATGATCAGTGTATGACATAGTGTCATGGTATAGAAGAAAGCTGTACATAATTGTCATCTGATGGCCGTTCACGACTTCCTGGTTGGAGTTCTAGAGATGGTGCATCGTAGTGGATCTAGACGTTACCAGACACGGCTAAAAGTAGTAGCTGGTGGCAGTCCCGTTGTGATTTCCCTCTGGTCTTTTTTCATGTGAATGAAAGGAATTTCTTTAACTGAAGAGAGCCATTTTAGTTTTATTTTTCTTAATTAAACTGTTTCTCCCACAACCATTATTATCACAACTATTTAACTCTCACTCTCTAGTTTTCACTCATTTTCTCTTCTTTTGACAACATTCACCTTCCCTTCTCTATCGCTTGACAGGCTCATTATTTATTGTGATACATACATGTTTCGGTGCTCCATTTTACAAATCTGTTTTTAAATAAATATATTAAACCATAGTCCTCCTCTTTATACTTCCACTTCCACGTCTCAACAAAGCTGCGATTTACTATCAGGGATATTGTGTAGTCTTCTGAAGGCTATAAAGGATAATAGATCAACTCAAGTACTTGACATAAATTTTTCTATTTGAGTGGCATTCATGGTCTTAACAGTCTGAGAGTTTGGAATTTGCCGAGTTTACGGATGCAAGTTTACTGGTTAGGGTCTTCGAAATAGATATATATCATGAAAAGAGACCATCAGTTTGGATGCTCAAGATCAGTCGCAGTGGTTCATAATCATTACCTCTTTATTTTAGATCTCGAATTTCGCTGACTGTAATTTCTTTCTTCTATCTTATTTGTTTATCCATGATATACGATTGTCATCAACACCAGTAGTGAATCAACTTGTTGCCCATAAAGTTGGCTTCCTCCGTCGATTTGTTATTGTTAGTAAGGCCTCTGTTCCAGATCCTACTTTAACTTTGCGATTTAGGAAAGAGAAAGGACAGAGATTTGACGAGAGCTATATATATTGAATTGATACCTAAGTACAACCTGAAGCACCAGAATACTATAGCAAAGATACAAATGCATTTATGAGTCCAACTTCCTAAAGGTACCTTGCAACAATTATAGTAACAGAAGGTAGAAATAGGTCCTTACATAATGAGCAAGAGTAAACTACGAACAGGAACAAAAATTAGTGGTACTCAGCTTATATTGTACCATAACAACTGACAGATTGATAAAATGATATAACGATGCGTCCAATCGCGAAATGAATAGAAATTTTATTCGCACGAGATCATATTTAGCGAGAAAATTACCTGAAATGCATTATGAACCTTGTTCTATTTCCAGCTGTTTACGTTGGCGGAGAGTTTGGGTGGTTACGAAAGCCTTATTGAAATACCGTAAGTCAAGGATTAAATGATTTGAAATAAATGTTTGTGCACACTGTGCAAACTGAACATTACCGAACACACCGATTCAGGTGACTAGTCTGCACTACGGTTATGGTTTCATTACTGACCGAACCTTGAAAACCAGCTCCCTTCCATCGTTTTGATAGCTTCATGTCCACTAATCTCACCTCAGTTTGAAATGACAATGGTGCCCAGTGACTTTGGACAGTATGTGTTTGAACTTATGGAGCCTAGTTGCCTGAATAGGTGTGTTCGGTAGTGTCCACTTAGTGTGCACCCGATACTTAGCTGTAGATAAGTGATAAGCGGAAAGGCAGCATTAGGACTTGCATTTCATACTACAAATGATCATTTTTATCGACTTCTGTTGTGGAAGTTTCCTGCTTAATAGCTCATGCTATGCGAGAGTTCCTGCAAACCATGTTGACCTCTCTATGATTTTATTGAACATCGGCCGGATTGATAGGTGGATAAGTATGGCTCATCACTGTGTCATCAATGGCATATTACAAAACAAATAATTTTCTGGCAACTAATCAATTCAACAGAGCTGGAAACTCCGTTTACACGGCACCATAGCTACTCACTACAACGTTCGACAGCCAAAACACCCAGCTCAATGTATAAAACTCCACCACAAACGCGCTATTCCTTGCTAGTAGTTCATACTGTTTGTATTTTTCCGTAAATAGTATTCTGATCTATTATGTTTGTCCAAACCCTAAAAATAATTGTCGACTAGTCAGCTAATACTATTGGTTTCGGAAATCGTGTCTATTAAATTCTTCAGTGTGTTATTATCGACAAACTTTAATCAGTCACCAGTTATCCAAGATTTATAATCTGTTACAATGTCAAGATATTGACTTATACATTCGCCACCTAAGAGTTGCTGCCTCGACGGCGTTGTTCAGAGTCATCTATGATGGTGGTATAATTGGACCAAACTGATCGACATTTGTTCTGTAAAGCTCTACCAAGCGGAGAAGAATGTCTGCAATGTGTTAACCCCGAACAAGATACTATCATGACTACTATCATACAACTTGCTTTATAGGGTGTTCTGGAGGATAATTGTCGCAGTGTCGTAGGTGAAGAGAGGATTTACCTTAGGGTTACTGACATTGCTTGCAGCGCTATATACATATATAAACCAAATAACTGCCATTTATAAACAGTCAAAAGCATGGAGGGATTGTCCGCAAATGTAACAAGACGTTTTTCACCATTTCAGGTCCATCATGACGCATGCATCAGTCCCAGTGGAGATTCGTGAGACCAACCACATCACGGAGAACATGCTTCGTTTATCGGTAGGACTGGAAGATCCAAGAGACCTATCACTCGATTTATACGAAGCATTAGACAAGCTGAATCAGGAAATCCAATCAATATAAATTTGTTCACTTTTATTTGTTATTAGCATCTCTGCAAATAAATCCATAAACTCAGTACCTAAAGTCTTATCTTCTTTCTACCACATAAGTATGTCGAATCCGAAATGAGACTGGTTCGCACCAATGCTTTGTGAAAGCTAAGTTGTCGGGTTCACCTGCTCACATTCTACATCCATTCTTGACACACTAGGGGCTTGAAGTATCTTGTCGGGCACTTAAGTTACACTGATATATCGATTTCCGTCCGTTGTTAGGAATTGACGCTGCGCAGCTCCTTATCGGCAGCCATTCACCTGGAAATCAGAATGCTTAAATTTGCTACAGTAGTGGGCAAAATGATAGTTATTCAGACAAAACATTTACTTAGTTTTCTGAGGGCTTCTGTAAAGCTAACCTCACAATTCCTGGCACACCGTACATGGGACGTTTCCCTTGTCTGCGAGATAATAGCACCACTCGTCAAACCATACAACTTGCCCATTATTATCACTCTCCTTTTCGATACCGTGCTTGAGGCATTTTCGACACATCTCACTTAACACATGAGTTGTGGCACATTAAAAGTAGGCCAGATGCAGATCAGGAGGAGGTATTGTCAAGACACAAGGGAGGACAGGGCAATACGAAGGCTGGTTCACCATCCAATGGATACAGCAGAGAAAACATAGACCCAAAATGATTAACCAAATGACGACTGAACGACAGTGAATCAACACAAACAGCCTACCCACATACAGCAAAAACGCTCAGCGTCGGCCTCAACCAGGTCTCCAAGAGTAGCTAAAACGCATCATAAAGCGGTAAGCTGTCAGAACTGTGATAGCATCGCTACACACTCGGAAAAGCCAGTGACTTTTAATTACACGTGTTATGAACTCGTCCCACAAGTGACATTTCTGCTCCAGGTTGAGCAAGTTGATGCGCGAATACACAGCACACTCGACCAACACATCATGCACCTCAAAGCACATGCCGAAACTGGGACACGACTGTGCTTCAACAGACACGGGGCTTCCCGTACTGGCCGCAAATAACCTTCATTCAGCGTGAACAGTCTCATCCTGTTCTAGATCAGGCAACATACATGCCAGCAGTAGGAACAATCGCATGCAATGAGGATAGTTAGACATCACTAGTACATATCCACCCACTTATTGGGCTACTAATACCGAGTAGGCAATGCTATAATTAGGAAACGAGTACTAAGTAGGGATGCCAGATCAGCAGATGAAGTGTTGAGCCTTCATCAGTTGAGGTGATTGGGACACGTGTTACGTATGCCTAACCAACGACCGCCTCGACGAGCAATGTTTTGTGGTGTAGTAGGTTGGGAGATAGGGTCAGTCAAACCAAGACATAGCACAAATTAATGAAGTCACTGACAGCTGGACTGAGCCATGCTCGTAGATGTAGGCTACCTGTTTGGGGTTCGCGAGACGAAAGTAACCGATGGTTAGAGACTGGGGATGACGTGACTCAAAATCGCGTACAATGGTGCAGATGCATCCACTACTTGTCTTCTCCGCAATTCTAATCGCCAGGGACGGCCACTGTAGAAATATAATTACAACACGTGCTTACCCGAATCGAATTCAATGGTGTCGCGATTGACAATCGAAGACTGAAGGGCAATCCCACGAATTCAATGCAGCCTATAAGGGAAAATGACATAGTAGTTGGATACTCGTCATATCAGATACTATCTAGTGGCATTCACTGTATCATCCACACGTTAACATCATAACACTCAACACCAAAGCAAAATAGGAAACAACTTACCCACATCACGCTAGACGTATGACGCATGAATGTTTGTGCCAAGATTCATGAGCATGGTACTTAACAAACTGCACCTTAGTTAAACACTTTTCAATGTGCAATGGATTAGTGTGCAAATTGGACATTACCGAACACACCGATTCAGGTGACTAGTCTGCACTACGGTTATGGTTTCATTACTGACCGAACCTTGAAAACCAGCTCCCTTCCATCGTTTTGATAGCTTCATGTCCACTAATCTCACCTCAGTTTGTTCCTGTTCATAGTTTAGTATTGCTCATTATGTAAGCATCTATTTCTACCTTCTGTTACTGTAATTGTTGCAAGGTACCTTTGGGAAGTTGGACTCATAAATGCATTTTTATCTTTGCTATAATATTCTGGTTCTTCAGGTTGTACTTAGTTATCAATTCAATATATATTGCTCTGGTCAAATCTTTGTCCTTTCTCTTTCCTAAATCGTTATAATTAAAGTAGGATCTGGCACAGAGGCCTTACTAACAATAACATATCGACGGAGGAAGCCAACTTTATGAGCAACAGTTTGATGCAATAGTGGTGTTGATGACAATCGTATATGATGGATAAACAAATAAGATAGAAGAAAGAAATTACAGTCAGCAAGATTCAAGATCTAAAATAAAGAGGTAATGAATATGAACCACTGCGACTGATCTTGAGCCCCCAAACTGATGGTCTCTTTTCATGATATACATCTATTTCGAAGACCCTAACCAGTAACGTTGCATCCGTAAACTCGGCAAATTCCAAACTCTCAGACTGTTAAGACCATGAATGCCACTCAAATAGAAAAATTTATGTCAAGTACTTGAGTTGATCTATTATCCTTTATAACCTTCAGAAGACTACACAACATCCCTGATAATAAATCGCAGCTTTGTTGAGACGTGGAAGTGGAAGTATAAAGAGGAGGACTATGGTTTAATATAATTATTTAAAAACAGATTTGTAAAATGGAGCACCGAAACATGTATGTATCACAATAAATAATGAGCCTGTCAAGCGATAGAGAAGGGAAGGTGAATGTTGTCAAAGGAAGAGAAAATGAGTGAAAACTAGAGAGTGAGAGTTAAATAGTTGTGATAATAATGGTTGTGGGAGAAACAGTTTAATTAAGAAAAATAAAACCAAAATGGCTCTCTTCAGTTAAAGAAATTCCTTTCATTTACATGAAAAAAGACCAGAGGAAAATCACAACGGGACTGCCACCGGCTACTACTTTTAGCCGTATCTGGTAACGTCTAGATCCACTACGATGCACCATCTCTAGAACTCCAACCAGGAAGTCGTGAACGGCCATCAGATGACAATTATGTACAGCTTTCTTCTATACCATGACACCATGTCATACACTGATCATCTCCGCTTTTTCCGATCAATCCCAGCTTTGGAAAGTAATTAAGGATGTGGAATTCGTCGGAACATCATCGGTAGCTCATGACCGAGCCACCGAAGTCAATGCTTCACGGTTACACCAATTGCATTATTTTTTCTGTTCCCGAAAACATGCTGCCGACCCCTGAGTTAGGAGCCGTGGATTTCAGCAGCATCTACCGAACTGATGAATGCTCGAAAGCTCAGCCCGCCTGGCTCTGAGTACGATGAGGAGCGGAGTCATCTCAGGAGCAGGCTGATAAAAAGCCTTCGTAATGATCGACAACAGTGATCGGTAGCGACAGCAAGGGAGATTTAAAAGGCAACGGCGATAGGCAACATTAGTCAATTATTCAGACTCATCAAGGAAACTGGTATTAGGAACCCAAATGTAAGTGAAGCTATCTCGGATGGTTTTATTATTCATTCTCAATCGGCTTTATTAGCATTGTGTCCTCACTGAAAGTCAGCAATCCTTCGGAGTCAACAGTGGTCGAACACAACAATGGTCGAATACCCAACAAACGAAATCAAGGTTTAGCGAACAACCTGTAAAATTGCTCTCACTGACGCATCGTTCATTTACTTACGTCGGTTAGTTTATGACAATGAATTTGTCAGCCACCAAAACATAAAATAGGATTAGCGCAAGCTGGGGCATAATCAGAGTTCAAACAATCACTCCAAAATCAGCGGCATTTCTGTGCACAATCATGCCAGCAATAACTGATCGCGATGTGATCGATTTGAATCCATGCTTGAGATACAGAGGAAGAATGCCGGGTAACACATCGGCGACGACAGTTTCTGAAATTTAAAAACAGGTTATTGTCTGTGTAACATCGCAGTAGACGGCCACCATTATCTGGACTGCGATCAGCAAGTCCTCATTGATCACCTAAATTACTCTCCTCTGTGTGTGTCCAACGCACATTTTGTAGAAGATCACTCAACTGATGGTATGAATCATCGGGGCTGCAATCTGTCGGGGCGTAGGTGAAGATAACGAAGACGTCGTTCTGTACACCAGTTTTGTCTCGTTTTGATGAAGCTTTCTAATCTCACGGCACACAATCGACTGTAAAAAAGGGTAGAGTCGATCAGCGCTGCCTCAGCTCTAGTGCTTAGTGCGACACCGATGCTGGCAATACGAGGAGAAGATGTCACAGGGTCCTCGGATGAACACGCTTTTCGAAGTGACAAATAGAGCTAATTTGTAGCACCTCATTGTAGCCTTGGATGCTGGTTTTGGATAAACATCAGACACTGAAGTTCAGACTTTCAAGGGCATAACCAATCGTATCTGCTGTTTAACCTGCATTAGCGTGTGAACGTTGAGGAAGGCCAGTTTGAATGACATTCGATGTTTCAGAAAGGCTGGTTCAGAGTTCTTTCTCGGTGGTGTCATTCAGCTTCCGACCAGTCATTGACTTGAGATCGTTTAGATAGGATGGAATTTCTAGCATAGGTAAGCTGCTGTATGAGTTGAGAAGTGAAATAATTCTGTCTTTTTATGTTTTAGCAGATGGTCTTCAGAAACCCTACTGCCCTGAAACAAAGGTACTTACGCGAATTACTAGACATACAATTTCATAAATAACTGCCAAATGACAAGAATTAGTGCAACTTGGCGGCTAGATTATCGTCCATTAGTCATTACCAGACACCTGGATTCCTACCGGAAGAACAAGAATCAATTGCTTTGAATTTGGTTGGTTTATATTAGCTCTTGAAAGAGATATTGGATATAAGATTTTCTCATAGGTCGTTCTTTAGCGGGACGTTCGACAGTACAGAAATGCCAGCCAAACGACGATTCGCGTCTCGCTTCCCAACGGTATGATCAGTATACGGATATCTTACATTTCGATACAATCTTTCATATATATAAAATAATCTTGATCCTTTTTGTAGACAAGAATTAAAAAAATAATGCAATTAGATGAAGAGATCGGCAAGTTGACAGCTACTGTCCCTCCTGTTGTTTGTAAGCAAACTTAAGGTGTATACCATATGGATTTTAGCACGTTCGTTGGAATTGTTTCTAGAGCAGCTGCTTAACCGGGCGTACGAATTCACTGCTTCTCGAAATTCTAAAACAATAAGTCCTGGAATTATGTAAATTGTAATTAGATTCACAATATTTTAAAGTAAATATGTTATAGAACATGAACCTCGCTTTGCATTCTTGCGTTCCCTGGTTTCCGGTATCCCAGATCTGAAGCCTGACAGTCGGAAGCAGAGCTGTTCCAAATTAAGTGCAGATTCAGATGTACAGTCAGATACTAGTGATGATACTTCGTCCAGTGTTGATGAAGTAAACCAGAACAATATGCCTTCTAGTGTTAAAAAACCGTCACGGCTAAAGCGAAAGCTATCTCCGGCCTTCGGAAAATCAAGTAAGCAGAACTTCATGGAGGAGGATAATCAAACCTCAAGTTCCCTGAATAGGAGTCGTGGGCCTAATTTGGGTTTATTGCCAGCAAATAAAGCTGGTAAGATGCGCAAAAATGGGAAAGCTGTTGGAAATTCAAGCAATGGTTCTGTCTCGTTTGACAGTTCTGGTATTCGGAACGAAAGTCTAGTCGATTATCAGTATACTGAAGCATAATTTTCTTGCTTTAGGTACTTGTATCTATCACATTTATATAAAATCATGTAAAACAGTCCGTTTATAATTTGTATGAAATCTTAGGACCCACTTTGTACAGGATAAAGTCATTGTTTATTTATTCATCTATGTTGCAAATAAACATCCTTGCCACTAGAATCCGTCTTGTCACTTGATAATCCTGGTATTCCAACCTATTAGGTAGTACTGTATACCTCTAACAATCTTACTTCAAGGATTATCTCCAGGATGCGGGACAAACATGATTACTCCTATTTTCTGACCGGTGGCTAGCCTAGAGAAGCTTCTAGGGTTCTGGTGAAAAACCGTGACTGGTTGAGTTCAGCCTTGTCGGATGTAAGGGCGGTTCACACCGAGGATAATAGATGATCGTGCAATATTGTGGATTGATTGATTTTAAACTTTTACATCAGTGATCCAGGGATTGAAAGGTCTGCAAGCAAGACCTAAAGTTTAGATTTTGATCCCCGGTGGCGGATTTGGGGATATGCACTGTTGAGAGGTCTTGTACTAAAGTGAAACAGCTACTCGGTGCCTTTAGATTTTTAATAGCTGTCTGAGTTAAATCGGTTGGTGATCTCAATAAACAAACTGGGACAGGTATGTTTGAATCTAATTTGAATGACTAGTTGTGTTTGGATGGTTGTAATTATACCTAATATGGTTTCTTGCTCGGACAGAATTATCTCTCACCGAGTTCCACTAACTTGCCTTTAGTCGTTCAGTATTCCATAGCCCGATTCTCTCACTCGTTATTCTTCGAGTGTAACAACGCTGGTATCCACTTTTTGCCGTTTGCTAACAAATCATCCTTCATAATCGTTGCTGTACGACACAAACGTTTTGTTAATCTTCGGATGTACTTGACAAGTATTATAAGTACAGAATTAATTATTTGCGGTATGTGAAGTTGGATATCGCTTGTTATTTGTCATGACTGTATTCTTAAGATAATCATATTATGCAACGATCTGTTTTTTTGACATTGAGTTTTCTACTGTATTTGATATAATTATTCTCGTTCTTTTTTAAATCATGGCGAACGCACATTTATGTCAGATTCTATGTTAATTATGACTGACTGGATTTAAATTTAGTCATTATGATTTAAGTATGGTGTCCAACTAAATCAATTATAAAATGTATCCATAAAAGTTTTCCTATATTGTTATTGAAGAAATATTGGCTTATCAAAAACTGAAATATAGTTTGTTGATTAATAATATCGTCACCATCGCAAAATAAAGTAAGGAATCTTACGCAACAACTAGCAGCTTACTAGTAAATTTCACATACCGTATAAAGATTCCTAACAGTTGGGTGGCTTCTAATCATTGTCATTAGTGTTTCTAATGTATGAAAATTTACCAATACATAAATGCAAATTAGCTATAATAGCAACTCTGTTGCTAACTACTGACAGTAGCTATCAGAGTTTCGATCACTTGTTACTGTACAGTGTAGCTCTTGACTACAGTCCAGTAATACTACTGTAGTGTAGGAGAACACAGGTGGGGCAACCGAATTGTATTTAACGAAAATTACAGAGTTACTCAGTAAAATCGGAAAACCATATCGCAAATCGTTCATTTGCAAAATATCAGTCCATCATATCGAACTGGACTGTTCCTGTTGCAAAACATCAATCCATTGTCACTATTCATGCGTTTCATACAGATTCCATTGTGTTCTAACTCTTCCTTTCTTGATCTTCCCCCATCTTCTGCTGCCACACATTACGTTGACACTCACATCATATACTACTTATAAGTAGCTCACACCACACTACTATTACTAGTACTATTACTACTACTAATAATGATGATAAAGTGACTCGTTTGCGAAGTTGATATTGATACAGTCGACTATGAGCCACATTGCTGGTTGTGCGACGACCATTGATATCACCTGACTGCTGATACCTAATTTTTAATTTAGGGCCAAACTTTATGTAACTAAAATGTTTTGTACTAGGAAAGGTACAAATATTTATGATCATAGTACCCCCAGCCATCGTTCAGCTAACAGTAAATAATTTGGAATTTATGTAGTTTAATTAAAGTTCTATAATTTCATCGTAAAACCATAGGATTTATATAGGATTATGTGTTGTATAGACGCTGAGTCATGTAAAATAGTTAGTTATTACTTTTTTTCCTATAAACAGCATCACTCCACATATATTTAGCTATGGATCTATCAAGTCAATATTGATCACTTAAATACCTTCCTAACTATTGGTGTAAATTGAGTTGAGAATATTGGAAATTTTCGGTCTAAATGGATATGCTCTACGAAGTTGTAGCTTGCTTCTCGTAATCGTAAAGTCACCGCTGTGTTTTATGTAAATATTGGATTCACCTGTGTCCAAGTTTTTTGGAATTGAAAATTGAGGTTTTCCAGTTTATTTGCTGGTAAATTCATTTTTCTATTATTATCATCACTATTATTTTTATAACATAACACTTACAATCCGTATTAATTGTCTATTATTTGATAAAGACATATTCTTGTTTTGAGTTATACGAAAATATACTTGTCCGATCTGCTTCATATTCTATAGAATTTCTTGGAAATCTTATTGCTACGTATATGAGTTAGTCAGTCAGTTACAGCGTAGAGCTTTGTACGTACGTACAAAAGTTCAGGTTGCCATACCGCATTAGCACAGAGACGCAACTGTTAGTTCAAATCCCATAGTGGTAGAGATAGTAGAAATATTAGTAGTAATCGAGAAGACTAGGGTTCGAAGGAATTATTCAAGAACTATAATTCACTCACCCGACCGTAGCTGCTACCTTGACGTGGTGGTCGGGTTCGCCTATCGTGATGGCCCAACCGAGCTATATTGGCTGGAACATATGTTCCTGAAGGTTCTACCATGCCATGCAGGTCGACTGGAGAACGATGAGACTAAAAGCAGCTACTCAAGGTCTGCGGGCGAAGTCGTACTGCTGATTGCAGAGGGGTGTGACAGTAGCAAGGCGTTTCCCTCGCACAACCAGCATCTGCAGTGATGCTGCCTTCTCACAAGGAAGGAAGGGTTAAAAAAGGTCGACCCTAAAAATGTCACACCTTACCTTACCTCACGGGTTTCTGTCTCCTTGGGTAAAGGTGCCCACTAATGGCTTTTAAGAGCGGAGCTAATACCCAGAAAACCTTTAATTAAAAGGCCGTGCGTGACCAGCCTCAAGCAGTTGTCCCTTGGTCTCTACGGTCACGCTACCAGGTCTCCAAGACTAATCTATCTTCCTTTTCAGGTTCCTCAAGAAACACCGCTCCACGGTGTGGGCAGCCGCCTTCATACCCATAAGAGCACGCGAGACCAAATTGGTCAAAATCAGATCCTTCCTACACCCCCTCATATCTCTCTTCTCTCCACGACTAATTCTACTCACATTTCCTTATCTCACTGCACCGCTAATGCAAACGAAGCGAGTTCCCGAAACGTCATTCCTGGTCTCCTGAAACCCCGTTCTAGACTGCATGTTGGAGCTTTTAGTGTACGGACATTGTGTCAAATAGGGCAACAGGCTTCCTTAGCTAGGATATTAGAATCTCGCTCAGTCGATGTATGCTGCGTCTCAGAAAAGCGCATGCGGGATCCTAGTAAAACTATTAATCTGATTTCACCTTGTAAAAATAAAGAAAAAGCTCGATTTACTATTCGTGTATCTGGAAGCCCTACTGCTGCTTCCCGTGGCCTCGCTGGTGTAGGTATAGCATTGAGTGGTAGAGCTAAACTAGCTCTCCTAGAATGGATCCCATTAGATAGTCGCTTTTGCGCTGTCCGACTAAACGGGACACTAAGAACTCGGAAGGATAGGGACACTCGCCGTTGCCTCTTCGTTATATCTGCCTATGCCCCCACTGACCGCAGTTCAGACGATGTGAAAGACGAGTTCTACAGAAAGCTTTCGGACCTCTTCCAAAAAGCTAGGCGCTGTGATGTAGTAATAATGGCTGGTGACTTTAATGCTTAAGTAGGTAGACTTAGTGAGCAGGAAAGACATCTACGTGGATGTTATGGTCTCGTGGCTCAGAGAACAGACAATGGCGACCGTCTGTTGCAGCTATGCTCAGATAAGTGCCAATTTCTAGCAAACACTAACTTTAAGGATCAGGAGAAATATCTCCTGACCTAGTGACCTCCAAAGTCGACCCAACGATGGACGCAACTAGATTGCATCGCTATCAGCCACCGATAGAGGGGATCGATAGAAGACTGTTGCTCGTTCTGGGGCACATGTTCAGATTCAGACCATGCTCTAGTGCGAGCACGTATTCGTTTGCGTCTTACTGGACGTAGGAAAGATACCGCAAGGAAACCTCTTAGGGTTCTACCTAATGATAGCATAGCTAAGGATACATTTCATGACAAATTAGGAAATCAGTTGCGCGGCCATGTAAGTGATTCCCATCCGGAGGCAGTTTGGAATGATATCAAAGAAGCTGTGGAAATAGCAGTGATACCTGCTGGTAAGGTAAGCCAGAAGTCTAGGAAGAAGCCATGGATCTCAATGGCATCCATCGAACTGATAGACGCTCGTAAACTCATCTTACCTGGCTCTCAACATGAGGAAGAGCGAAGTCAGCCTAAGCGCGGGCTAATAAAAGGCCCACGTAATGATTGCGGATAGTGGTGGGTAGCAAAAGCAAGGGAGATGAGAAAGTCAGTGATAATAGTTAACGGTAGACAACTGTTGCGACTTATCGAGGAAACCGGTATCAGAAATCCATCTGTTAGCGAAACTATCTCAGAAAAGGATAGCTGTATCATTTATTCTCAAACCAGGAGATCGGATAGATTGGCAGAAATCCATGAAGTCATTGACGAGTGGACTTAGCCATGTCGGTAATTGTCGACTACCTGGTTGGGGTTCGCGAGATGATAATAATCGATGGTTAGAGACCTTGAATGACATGGCTCAAAATCGTTCGCAATGGCGCCAGTGCATTTATTCTCTGTGTTCTCTCAAATGCTAATTTTCTGGATTCTTCAACCCCTCTAGTTTCGACTCTCTAAACTTTTCTCACTGAATCATACTTCTTGAATAATATCTTCTAATCCTAACCTCTCCGATTATTTCTAATTCCCTTACTACCTCTTCTACTATTGGATTTGAATTGACGATTACTTCTCTGTGCTGATGTGGTATGGCAACATGAACTGATGTACTTATGTACAAAGTTCTACGTTGCATCTGACTGACTGACTGAGACTCGAAAAAACCAGGCTGGTTTTAGACCTGTAAGCGGATGTATAGATCAAATATTCACTCTTTGTCAGGTCCTGAAAGATAGATACTCCTTCAGATGTCCCACAATAGTAGTATTTCTCGACCTTAAGGCGGCATTCGACCTTATCGGTTGTGAGGCACTGTACCAGTGTCTCTTATTAAAAGATATACCAGAAAAGTACAATAACCTTATACAGGATCTCTACTTGAACACTAATGGTCGAGTTAGAGCTTATGACTAACTGTCATCGGAATTCCTTACTTCAAGTGGTGTCCGTCAGGGCTGTCCACTCTCTTCATTCTTGTTTAACTTTGTCGTTGATGTGCTTTTGGAATTAACATTATCTTCGTCTGACTTTTCAGGGGTGAACTTTTTACCAGGAGGCTCGCTCATTGACTTAGAATGTGTCGCTGACCACCCTAAGCAACAATACAAGCATTTTTGGGATGTGGTGTTCCCCCTCGGAACGCAAAATGTTGCTTCAAGACTGGGTTGCATCGCCACCTGAACTGGTGATAGGGAGTGAAGTAGTCGAACGTGTAGACCGCTTCACTCCATTATTTGTGTTCTCTGCAATTCTAATCTTCTGGATTCCTCACCACCCCTATCCTTCTCTTTTCAAAGTTACCTCAGTGAATTATAGTTCTTGAATAATTCCTTCGAACCCTAGTCTTCTCGATTACTACTAATATTTCTACTATCTCTACCACTATGGGATTTGAACTAACAGTTGCGTCTCTGTGCTAATGCGGTATGGCAACCTGAACTTTTGTACGTACGTACAAATCTCTACGCTGTAAATGAATGACTGAGTGAAAGTGACTTAGAGAATTGTGTAGAAAATCTTACGTTTACTGTCTTACTGGCATATATTGTGATAAAATTATTTGATGAGAGCTATTAATCACATTCGGATTGTAGTTAAGAGTAGCTGTATGTGTCATCAAAAAGAGATTGAGTTTACACGTGCATTTAAATATTAGATGTGAATTTCGAATTAAGAGACCAAATATTTGTAATTCATTTAATAGTAAAATTATTAATAATTTTCTGTATATTTGGACTATCATTTTTTTGAGATCTAGCCCTATTATAAACATACTCTCGAACCTGCAATAAGTTCACTGTTATTAAGATTTTTATTTTCTGATAAAGATTTTGTTTAGTTTTATATATATATATATATATATATATATATATATTTGCTGAGAAGTCTATCAAGAATAAAGAGATTATTGTCATTGTTATGAAAATCAATGCATTTTTATTTAGGCTTTAAACATTTTTTTTCTATTCAGAAGTATTGCATACATGAGAAAACCGAACATGAATATGTATAACTGAAATAAAACTTCTTAATTTTACTAAGAGAATACGAAAATAAAATTTCTAGTGAAAAACTTTGTGCCAGGATTATTTAATGCTATTCTGATAAGTTTATGAAACGAAGCATAAGGTTGTGTTGATCATTAATGCTACACGTTATATTATGTATCCTATGCTTGGTAAAAATCACTATTTTTATTTCACTTTGTTGTACTTCTTATTACGCATATTCATATTCAGCATGATGTTCATTCATTCGTGATCACTGAGTACAAATTTTGTGTTTAAGTTGCTTTCATTCCTTATCGTGTTTGGAGACCGAGAAAATTAGTTCTTGACCACCTCTTCTAGTTCAGTGGATGCCGACGGAATCAAATGATCTTTTTTGGCCTTTCATTTCAAATCGCTGATAGATATCGTCACTGTTTTCATAGTTATCTGGATATCGTACAAAGATACTTTGTGGTGAATATCATTTACATGATCTTTTAAGTGTTTCTCTAGCTGTTACTGAGATATACTTCACACATCAGAGTCTTAAAAGTAAACCTTAGGTGATCTTGTGAAATTTCCGAGTCCTATAAAACACAGCCAAAGAATATGGTTAGTTTGGAGTGTGATCAGAATCTAAACATACATTCCAGAACTGGTCGGATTCTTCTATTGACGTAAATTACTAGCAATTACACAGGGTGAAATCCGATCAGAAATCTCAAGTGAATCAGAGTCAAATATAAAATATTTTCTTTTGTGACAATAAATGGATATACCCATTTCGCTCAATGATCAATCACGGCTCATTATCACACGACATATCACTTAAGAGTTAACTGCTGTCATGACATGCACTATTCTGTGGAATTTGTGGATAAAATTTTTATTTATTCTGTTCTACTTTTTAAATCTTTGATTCCATCAAGTTCAAATTCCACTAAGCACTCTTCAGAAGAGTACTAGTATTGTGGAACTTGGAAATACTGGTTAGGCTTAGTCGTTGACAGTGTTTCAAGTTGTAAATTTGAATAAAGCATTAGTAACACAAAGTTAACTCTCGTTCTTCTTCATTCCTATGCTGATTTCTTCTAGACTGTATGTAACTTCCATCAGGTTTGTTTATCTTGAACAACCCAGTTGTCCAAAACATTAAATCTGCTGTGTCGTTAAAAGTAATTACACAAAAATTAGTGAGTCATAAAATACCATATGGAAGTTATTTACGAATTTTGTATATTATATTTATCCAGGAGTAGACTTAAGATTTCCTTCAACCTTGTAGCCTGATATTTCAATTTTGTACAGTCTTAATTATACTCTTACACTAGAACATACATGTAGTTCTATAAACCATCCTATTAGTACATATGTACTGAGTTGTTTTGGTGATTTGTTTTCTATTGATATGTAGAACGAAATCTTAAAAGTGTCCTTACTTGGTAAATGTGCGAAAATTGTCGTTTATAAAATCGATATATAGCAGATTATAAACAATATAAGGAGCTGTGAATAATTAAAACAATAAACCATTTTATGCAATATATTTCAAATTTCTTCGCCTAATATATATAACAAGTAAAAAGGCATACGATTATTCAGCTTAAATAATAGTTTATTTATTGATTACATCATAAATAGCAATGATGACAAATTTAACTGAAACAAACAGCATCCATATAATATCCAATTTCTTGATCACTTTCACCAAACTCTTTTAATTGAATATCAACTAAAGGAAGTAGGTTTGGTTTACGCGCGACAAATTCAAATACACTACTGGCTTTCTGTTTACTTCGTTCCTAAAATAAACAATCAACAAAATATTGATAAGATGAGTTGAAAATGTGAACAACCAAAAATTACTAGTTATTTAATTTGTCACAGACAGTAGAAAAGTAGTTTTTTTATACTTATTTTGAGTAGTTCCCTTTAAATTTCTAACAAAATCTAAGCATATGGGATTGCTAAAATTAGCTTAGAAATATAGTAGTTTTCACATCAGTTACTTATTTCTGTTAATGCTATCTAGAGTGTTGATAAAGGTTTCTAATTAAAACCATCTAGCTCATAGAGTATCACACTATCAAAATCATCCATTTGAACTGTGTATCTTTTACAATATTTGTCTCACCATAAACTTCTTTGGTTTTAGGCTTCTAATATTATTCAACCACTGTAAACCGTCTTAAAAGACCGTTAATCAGTTTATAGTGTAACAGTTATTCGGGACATTTAAAACTAACTGTTTAGATTAGTAAATAAAAAAACTCACTGATCACTGATAAATACTATGATAAAATGATATGCCAGTATTAGATAATATTTCATATAAACAATAATCTTTTTTTCAAATATGCTTCTGTTGTTCAGTTTAAATAACAAAAATACTAACAATCGAAATGGTTATTGAAAGACAGTTAATACAAAATAAGTATTGTTTAAGACCAGTACTTTGTTTCCCGTTATCAAATTTCACTGTCGTCTAGTAGAGGATGTGAGAACTAGTAGTTAAAATATGCACAAATCTTATGTTGGCATTCGTTCTTTGTCGTAATTAAAATTAATTGATTAATACAGAGATGGATCTCTGATTTCGCTACTGAACTTTTCTATTAACAATTAATAAAGACTATCGTTTAAAAAGATATGCAATCGAAAATTGTATAAAAATTAATCTAAGTTAAATTCACAGAAATATGGATGATCAAATTAATTGGCTTTATCAACAGTGACTACTTACCATGCATTCATCTTTAACCTTGATATCTAATATAATGCTTCCACCGATAGCACGTGTACGTCTATCTTCATAAGTATCAATTACATTTTCATCAAATAATTTCACAACTACTGCATTCTTATAATTTTGATTTTTCACATCAAAATATACTGGTGTATTACGACATGTGAAAGTGATAACTTGTTCAGCTTTTGAATGTAATAGTTGTAGATAACGAATTTGATTTATTGGTGCATAGTATAGCTTAAATATATAATGAAATGAAAATAATATGAAAAATTATTACTTGTCAGTAATACAAAGCAATCTTCCACAATTAGTCCTTTTGATGAATTTAACACAACACAATCAGAAGATGAAGATTATTAGGACTGTGATATATTAACGCTTTGGTTACACATTTATTTAACAAACATTTAGGTATGGCAAATAAGGGACACTAATAAAGGTGATTATTGATGAAGTCAATATCAGTAATGATTGTGGGTGAATATAAGAATGATATCTACAGTCGAAAGTGGCCTAGATATGTGTGAGATTTTGAATATATTTAAATGATCATAGACAATTAATTAGACTTATGAAAGAAATTGGTATTAGGAACCAGTCCATTTGACTTCACAAATAATTTCGAATGATGATTCTCTTGATCGTATGTGATCAAAGTTGATCATATGTTTAAGGACTGAACTGTTAAGGAACTTACAGTCCCCCTTTAGATGGTCATACAAGGGTAGTACTCAGACAGTGGTTTGACAAGTGCGCGCTTTGTACGGTCAATACAACCTGCTCCATAAAAGCAAGTAAACTAATAAATACTCACTGAAGTGGCCAAAAAGGGAAGTTTATCCTTGAGGCTTTCCCATTTGGATTTTGATCTCTGCTAATAAATAGTTCTTCTCAGAGATCTGGATAATCTGTTTCTCAACACCTCTGTTGCAATATCCTTTTAAAGTTAGTGTTTATGTATAAAAATTTCTTAAGAGCTATGAGAATTATTTCAATCTGACCTTTTGGTTTTAGGTTTCTGTCAATGAACTTGAGCGGGTAGCTTTTTATCATAAGTGTTAGTTAGATTTAATTCAGTTTTTGATTAGTCGTATCCTTCGCTCATATGCGTCTAGTTCTTGGGAATAGAGAATGCATCGTGTTCCTCTTTCTACACACAAGCCCACAACTCTGGAATTTCGTATGTTGGTCTCTGTAGGTTGGTTTTATGTATATTGGTTTTCGCAACATACTTATTTTCATTCAGTATGAAATGATTTGGATTAACATATTTTTGATTATCTTTTAACAACACAATGCTTTTTTCATTTTACTCAGGGTATAATCTAAAACCGACAGTTTTATTTCTACTTGTGATTCTACAACGATTTAGTCATTTGATGAATGTTGGTAGTTAGGACTGTATGCAACAATTCAGCCATTTTTCAGTTAGAGCTTTGGAGATTTGTGCTTTTTACACATTTGAAATCATCAATCAATCATTGTTAGACCACCATTAGAAACCTGGAAGCACTGGACGATGGTTAGGCGTTCGCGCACAATACCGAAGGTCCCGGGTTCGAATCCTGTGAGGTGCAGGAGTCGTTGATGCGCACTGCTGATGAGTCCCATACCAGGACGAAACGGCCGTCCAGTGCTTCCAGGTTTCTAATGGTGGTCTATCAATGATTGATTGACGATTTCAAATGTGTAAAAAATTCAGCCATTATTTTATTTGTTCCTAGTACACTTGTTATAAGAATAACTTATTAATTTTATATTAAAAAAACTGTAGGAATTAATCCTAGTAAAAACATCAATAACAAAAATGTTAATCAAGATAAAACATAGGAGAAACCATTGAGAATGAAAAATCACTTGGGTTTTATGCATTGTTCCATTTTGTTTTTGTTGCTTTAAATGTGAAATCCACCAGTCTTCTGAATTGTTTGTTTTAACAAAATTAGTAAGAGGTTGCTGAAAACATGAATAAACAACAACGATTATCAGCTGATTAGCAGTTACACTTTTTACGATAGTAAACTAATTGATTAACTGAGAAGTAATGAATAAGGCTAGAAATCATGAATTATGATAGAGTTTTAATGAATCAATTCTGAGAATATGATGAAAACGTTTGAGTTAAAATCATTATTGGAAATATGGTGATTTAATGTTTTGATACTTTTATGCGGGACCACACATAAATTATTGTTATTTCTTTGTTATGTATAAACTTAGCAGGTACTCTGAGTCATCTAAATTGAGAGAAAATATACAGTTTTTAAAAGAACAAATAAAAATAACATACACGTGATCCTGTAAGCGCCACCAAAATTCAAAAGGCTTTTTTTCCACATAACGAACTAGTTAGTAATTATTCACTAGGCATTCTCAAGAAATCACATCAACTTAACAATGTTTAACTATCAGTCGTATGCACCAGATTTTAGTGTGAATGAATTATTTTTAGGTATCAGTACCAAAGTTGAACTTGAAAGTTTCAAATATATTTAGCATTAGGTGGAAAGTTAATAATGATAATAAAATAATTTTAAGATTTGGCGATATCTTAGTAAGTAGAAATTTAACTTATTGACGTTTTGTGACTTGATGCAAATCACTTTTTCAAAGTGAATAATTAAACAGCCAAAATAAATTAACAAAAGTTTTAATAGATTGAAGTCCATTTAAACAGAAATTTCTACGAATTTGAATGCCACCGAAAATTATAAATATTAAATGAATTATTATTTCGCATATAAATCTGAGTTTTATGAAGCTAACAAGAGTATAATAAAGCTTTGACAGTCAAGGCAGATAAAGTAATATACTAAAGTTTAGATAAGTAATTGATTATCATAGTAAATGACACTTCATTGTTACCATTCAGCTCATTGAGAGAAAATCTAGGCAGAAAAAATACCTACTACATACAAAGACTAATATATAAAAAGTCTGGTGATTTTCAGTTCATTTTGGATAGTTTGAAAAACTATTCGGGTTATTTTGGTAAAATGATCTATAAGAAAGTTGATAAAAGCTAAACGATAGTTTAAAAACAGAAGATATGGGCAGTTCTTTTTTCATAAGCTGAAAATCTTGGATATGATAGAAATATTTCAGCACAGCAAGAAACCCCCTTAGAGTCCAACCTAACTGATACAAAAAGGCTGTAAAAACAATAGTGATAGCTAACAGTAAATATAACCAAGAGGTTTGGAAAAATTAGTGGATTTAAACGACTACATGAACGGGCAATGTTGTATAATGAAGAAGTAGGCTGGAAGAGAGCTAGATGTGGTCAAACCAAAACATGGTATAAATCCACGAAGTCACTGAAAGTTGGAATGAGCCATTTTAGTAGATGTAGATCATCTGGTTGGGGTCCACGAGACACTCATGACCGGTGCTTACTGACTTTGAATGACATAGCTCAAAATTGTTTTGCAACGATGCAAATGAATCCATTCTCAGCTTTTTAATTCTTCACAATTTTTCTGTTTATACTTTCTTAAAGCATATCTTTAATGCTTAATATTTTCTACTACCTCAACTGCTCTGGGGTTTGGCCCGTCAACTTTATTTCTCTGTTTTAACGAGGTATAACGATTTGAGCATATGTGCGTTTGTACAACGTTCTATGTTGCATCTGAAAGACTGACTTATTCAAGATAGTGCTGGTTTAAAAATGATTGAAAAAAATATTGTAAATTAAAGCCAGGACGAAATTTACAACCTAGAAACTTCCGTGTTTTACATTACAGACTGATCTTAATTAGATGCTCGTTGAAAATCGTGAATCACCGAAAGGTTTTGTTACCTGAGTATACAGAAATCTTCATCAGAGCTCACTGAAGATCCTACGAAGAATGGGGCTAAGGATTTTCAGATCTCGTGTCGATCATCTAACCTCTAGATCACTTAGCTGACATCCAGTGGTCTAAATTTCGAACTTCATTGGAATAGTTATATCGTGTAACCATCTTCCAATGTCATTGGTGCATAATTACCTCTTATTTTACATAGCTAGACTCCATTGGTCACAGCTTCCTACTCGAAATTCGATAATCAGGTCTCGAAATTAGTCACTATTAGTTCAGCGCAGTTGAGGAGATGGTTGAATTTTATGGCTTTTTTCATGACTCGATTTTAGTTCGATAAACGTAACCCATAGAGTTCAACCATGTAGGGTTTTGAGCTCAATCCTTGGTGGAATTATGGATACCCAAAGTTGAAGAGCGTCTTGATTGAACTAAACATCGGTTTATTAACTTTCAGTGATTATCTAAGATGATTCATCTCTTTTATTGAGAAACAATCAAATCTAAACACCAATCAAGCTTTAGTTTCAGCTCAGTTAGACAATGCTTTGTTTGTTTGTCGTTTGAAACATGAAATGTCATTTATCATCATACTTGGGATTAAAAGTTGTAATATCTTCCATAAGAGAAATAAATTATGAGTTAAGAGATTAGTTTATTTAATGTACCAAACTGTCTTAAGTTCGCCTACCAGGGTTTCAGTGAAAACAAAAATGGATCAATACGAAAATTGACAATCTGCATAATCATTACACTTCTCAATTATAGACAAATTAAGAATTTTTGTCATTTACCTACTTAATTAGTTTATTGAAGCATCACTTAACAATTTTTCACTGAGCTAAATATACATTTTTCTGTCGTCACAACAACCAGAAGAGGTTTTTTTTGTTTACAATATTAACTATTTCAAGTAGACACATCATTATTCGATTAGCGCAATACAATTAAATTAAGCGACCTAATTCATCAATGGTATCATTATTTGTAAAGAAAATTAAAGTTCAAAAACAAATGTTGGTGGTTTGAATATATTAGTCAAACAAGAGAAATGAGCTTAATAATAATTTGGTGTGTTTTAAGTAAAAAGTATATAAAGGTATTAAAAAAATTATCTATTGAATGATTGAAATCAGTGACCTGATTGAATGTGTCTAGTTTCAATGTACTGAACTTATTTGATAACCTAGAATTATGGTTGGACAGTTATTTGCCTAATCTTTCTTCGACAATCCCATTTTAATAGGAGTTTAAAATTGTTGAGATTTCTATAACACTATTTATTGGATAATAAAAAATATCATAGTGAAAAACTGATATAAAAATCTTTCAGAATCAGTAATAAATAAATTTCATATGTTTACAATTGATCGAGCACAGATTAGTGACTAATGTTGTTCATGTTTAGTCATTTAGTGCTGATCGAATCCTATCAATCAGGTTGCAGTTTGGTCACTGATCTTAAACAATTTGACATCACGTGATCCATGTTGAGATGTTAGGTGGTTTGAAGTAGTCAACAAGAAACCCTAGACTAGTGTTGTATGTGAACTACGCCTGCAGACCCTTCGGGGCTCTTGCCGGTCACAAGCCCGGGTAAAGGAGGAGGGTTGGGCATGGGGTCGGTGACCCCATCCCACCAAAAAAATAACTTTTCGTAAACACGGTAACCAGAAAAATGTATGTTATTAGGCACTAGTCAGCAAGGAAAACCTGTAATATTGAGGAAATCGACGTTCTTCGACGGACAGAATGTTATGCATTAAATCAATCTGAGGAAGGTTTACTATAGAAAATAAATTAAAAGAATATCTTAAAAATGAATTAATGCGTTTAGTGGAATAATAACTTTTTAGGGAAGTTCATAGCTAGTGAATAATAATATGTTTAGAATAAGGAGTAGATGTTCCGATTCAAGTAAACAATTTCACAGGAAGATCTGTATTTCCCACTGGTGGTTTAAATAAGCATCTAGTTAACAGTTTATCGATATGCTTAAGATAATTTTGGCGGCCGCACATTACTGTTATACGGAAATTACGATTAAAGGTGAAATGATTAACCCAAAAAATATTTAATGCAAATATAACGTAACTCAGTGGACAGTAATAGATTCATTTGTTCGGTTTTGAGAAAAAAAAACTTGACATCTGGCAATTCATGGTAATGGCCAGAAAGATAAGCTTAAGTAGATTGAATGGAATTTGAACATGGGACATAATCATGAATCGTTGATTGATTTAACAATCAAGCGACTATCGGGTAAGCATACCGTATGACATAAATAGCTGAATGACTTTAAAGTTCACTTCAGTTATTAGTTTTTATGATAATTATAAGTGGTAAACATATATTTTCATATATATTTCATCTGTTATGATATTTCATCAATTATTAACTTGATTATTGGAAAGAAACGTTTTTTTTTTGAGAACAGATAGTTTGTTTATAGATGAAAAATAAAATAAAAAAAATTAATGTTCCCACTTACTGTTTTTGTATCTTCAGTTGGTTTGATGCATGTTTCAGCAACATTTCCTTTATTCTGAAATCGACATTCAACCGTGAATGCATCAGTTGGTGAACCAAGATTTGGATCAATCCAGTAAATACCAGATTTGAAAGTTTCTGGAAATTCAGCAGCTTCAAATATATCACGACAATGTCTAGCTGGATTTTGTTGTGTACCCATAGGACGTTCAAAACTATTCATAGACGCTTCTAAACTTTCAATTCTTGCATATATACGACGTAGTACTGCACCAACTGATGGTAATGTATTTGGTGTAATACTTTCATCTAATTAGTTGTACAGAATTGTTATTGGTAGTAAAAAAAATTATGTAAATAAGATTATATTCAAACTTTAAGATTACAAATTTCAAAGAATTATATTGTTCAGAAAAGTGTCATTTAATTTATTATAAACTAAAATTCAGCTTAAAGTAGGATTTCTAATCGTGGTACTTCCTTTCTGTCACAGTTGTTCACTTTGAGAATGAATGTTTAAGAAGTCATTTCGTTTTCAACCAAATTGTTTTAAAAACGTTCGAGAAAAATCAGCTAATTGACTAGTAACCTACTCGTACATTATTTCGGTTAATCATCGGTTTTTTTCTTCAGAAGAGTTAGTATTTGTGAACTATGCATAGTTGCATATGAATGATAAATATACAATTGTGAAGTGTTAAAGACAAATTTACAATTTAATAAGAGGATTTGACACATTTTCTTACCGTATCGAATCTTAATTTACTACCAATAGTGAATTCATGCTACTTCATGCATTGTTGAAAACAGGATATTAAATTTTTTACAACAAAGATTTTGTTCAGTAAATGGACCTAAGTCCATTAGTTAAAGTTTTCCGACTTTGATCGTGATAAAAACCTTAGAATTATTAAAAGTTACCGATACCCATCTGATTTGACTGAACTCACAGGTCCTGGATTTACCGGCTAAACTTAAAAACAAGTCATCGGTGAGAATATAAAACAGCTGAATGATCTAGGTTGAATTAACTTTATGGAAAATGTCTATCTGCAACTAATTTACAATTCAGCGTTTGTCTCTGTATGCTTTTCATTTGATCTATTTTTTTAAAAAAAATGCTTAAAGCGTAGATATTAGATACTATTCAAAAAAAAAAATTACCCGCTTTATTGGAACACCGATTTTCTATTTGTAAAGATACATCATATATTTTAGATATTTCTAGGTAAGCACATTTATTTCGATTGAGGAAATGATGAAACAAACTTTCCAGTAGACAATTCAAAAATGTTTAATTTGTTTTAAAAACTTATTAAATTTCAAACATATAACGAAATTAGTTCAACGGTATAAAATCTATAAACATGAACTGAAGCATGTTTTGTGGACTCAGTGTGATTAATACAATTTGTGACCTGAGGTTTTTTTGGTCTATTTAATTTGTTAAATTTGACAAAAAAGTGTTATTCGGCTTATTTTTATTGATTTATAAATCATTTATTACAGATATTTTAAGAGAAAATTTTGTCTTAACCGTTGACCCCCATTTTTTGTTTAAGGATAAGGGTTGTAGCATCTCATCATTCATTCATTGTACATCAATAATTAGTCGTTTAAATTAAAGGGTTTATGAATGAGGTTAAAGTTGAATATCTGTTTCAGCATTGTCTTTTTTATTACAGAAATGAGAGGGTCATTCATGTAGATAGCTAAAGGTGTGTTAAAGTTAGTGTCTTAAAAAATGTATCAAGATTTTATCATATGTGTGTAATCATGAAGTAAAAATAAATGTCGACTGATTTGAAATCTTGCATAGAGAAAAAATAATGTCATTAGAAAATTCATCTATTTGATCGTTTGGTAAAATAACTTACCTGGATCCTGTTTTGAATAATATTGATTCTGGTATAAAGCATCTGAAATACTACGTCTCACTCTGGGTGTATCTTCAAACTTATAATAACCTTCACTCATATCCAAAACTTTAATTGGACCCGGAGGTCCCGGTGGTCCTGCCGGACCAGAAGAACCTTTTCGACCTGGGACACCAGGTAAACCTATAAAAGAAAAATAAATTTAACACAAAATCACTATGAATAGGAAAGAGGGTTCAGTTTAATTTTTTAAGAAAGCTCATATATTTAGTAATAATGCAGCACCTACATAAACCATTCAAAAATGCAATTACCTTTTTCAATTGAAACATTTAAATCTATAAAATTTTATAGTAATCTCAATTTATGTTGAGTACTGTTGAAATAGTAAGTGACGTGTAATAAAGTTAATTGTTCATAACTACAAATCATGACTCAATAAAATAGTTGTTAAGTTATATTTCATTTTGGATTCTAAATCAACATTATTGAATGTGTTTTAATGATTTTACATAATTCAGTGTATAGTTTTATTTACTAAAATTATACTTTAAAGTATAAGAGATATTTCTCTACGACTATTGAATGGGCACTTTATTAGTAGTTGATTGGAAAAATTTTGACTGTATAGCATAGTACATTTATTGAACTTTCGAATTTTTTGTTTACAATTCATGCTTCGTCTCAGACTAAACGGGTGTTCCGCTTCTAACCATAAAACAGTTTATAATTTTTTTGTGTAACGGAACTTGGTAAGATTACCAGCTATTTTTGTGTATAGAGTACACTGTGGAAAATTATAAAAGATAGTGTGTAAAATATTAAACTCATGAAGTTAAAATTTCTGTCAATGAATTGGCATTCATTTACTAACCTGGTGGACCAGGATGTCCAGCTGGACCTTCGGGACCAGTTGGTCCAGATGGACCTGGCTGTCCTGGATCTCCAATAGGTCCGACAGGACCCCTTTCTCCTTTAAGACCAATCACTCCACGTGTGCCCTCAAGTCCAGGAACACCCTGTTCACCCTTCGGTCCAGGAGGCCCCATAGGACCGACTGGACCATAGGTCCCTTTGCTACCTTTTGGACCACGGTCGCCTTGTATCCCAGGGTCACCTTGTTTTCCCTGAAAATATTCAATAGCAAAGATAGATTTTGTTGGTAGACAAACAAAAACTGTAAATCACATACAGTTTATCTAGAGACAACATGTTTACCAGTTAATTCGACCTTGATTAGATTATGTCAATGAGTTAAAGATGGTTTTAGACAAGGCATCTAGAAGCATTGATATCATTCTTGGTTCTAAAAAAACAAACATTACCCATAATACATATTAGAGGCTTAAACAATGAATAAAATAAAACAGGGCTAAAATATTCTTCTATTTATTCAACGTAATAACTAGAACCTTTGCTAATAAAAAAATTACAAGAATTGATTTACTTGTAGCCCTTCTGGTCCTCGTTCTCCTGTTTTGCCTTGTTTTCCCATTACTCCCTAAAAGTAAGTTTCAAAAAATGAGATCAGAAAAATTATAAGATTCAGCATTAGAAAGAAAACAATATCCACTTCACTTATTTCGTCTTAATAAACATTGTTTCATCATATTCAATAAAGTAATCATGCCGTTACAATCGATTTAAAAATCAATTATTTCACACACTTACCGATTTTATGAATACATGATCAATATTCTTGAAGGTGATAATTCTAAAGTATTGAATAAATGTTAACAGTTCAACTTAATGCAGATTGTTCGTTCTAGATTGTATGTACTCTTCGAAGTTGTTCCTCATTTTTTCTATCTTTTTTATTCACCTTTATTAAGCGATTTCTTTTTTGTTATTGTACAGTTTAGATTAATGTACTTTGTAATTATTAGGCTTAATGATTATATTTTTATTTGGTAAAACATTCTCTTTTTTTGTTATTATGTTAAAACTCAGTTTCGAATTTCTACATTAAATAATAAGGTGCAGATTATCAACAATGTTAGTTTGGATTATTTTTTGTTACAGCATCTATTTGTACATAACTTTTATAAGTGTCAATGTGACTGTTCTCATTATTTAAATTTACGTATTTTGTGCATGACTGGTTGGGTCATCACGATAGGCAAGCCCGACCACCACGTCAAGGTAGCAGCTTCGGTCGGGAGCAGCTTCGGTCGGGACATGGCTCAAAATCGTTCGCAATGGCGCCGGTGCATTTATTCTTTGTGTTCTCTCAAATGCTAATCTTCTGGATTCTTCAACACATCTAGTTTTGTCTTACCAAAATTTTCTCATTAAATCATACTTCTTGAATAATATCTTCTAATTCTAACCTGTGCGATTACTCCTAATACCTTTACTACCTCTTCTACTATTGGATTTGAATTGACGATTACTTCTCTGTGCTGATGTGGTATGGCAACATGAACTGATGTACTTATGTACAAAGTTCTACGTTGCATCTGACTGACTGACTGCATGACTGAATATTTTCGGTAAATGATTAATATTTATTAAAAAAAAATAAATATTCCAAGTTAATTGAACTCCACCGACCAGCTTAGATAACCAATCAAGTGATGATTTACAAAATCACATAAAATGTAAGCATCGCTTTACAGCTACTATATCAGTGTCATATTCAAAGTATCCAGAAATAGGATTCGTTTCTCAGACTGTACAGCATGTAAATGAATTGAGAATTATTTCACTTAAAGCACTTGGAGTACTAAAGTATGGGTTTGGAGGGTAAAACTGTTTCGTTTCTTTCCATGACCATTTATTGGAATTGATATCCTTATTTTTTTTAGTTTGTTATTAGATGTTATTAAAGTAATTTTCATTTATTTGCATAAAATTATTTTATCTCTATCAATTAAGATTATGTTTGTTTCTAAATAAATTATTTTAGTATATCTATTCACATAAGTTAGCTAATACATTACTATTCATTATTTACGTGCGCCAAATTATAAAGCAATGACATATAGCATTATTTAAAGATATTCTTTTTTTACTTATGCCATAAATAAGCAATTCTTTTTGAAGGTTTTATAAGCTTGAGTTGAATGTGCTACCAAAGAAAACAATTTAGAAATCTCAAACCTAGGAAGTTTTGATTGTTGACTTTTATTATTCAAATCACTCAGTTTTAGGGTTACCATAAATGTCACTAATCTATACTTTCACGTGGTGGCTCGATAACCAGTAGCACTCTACCTTATGAACTAACATAGCGGGCGATAAGGATAGGATTAGTCGACAAATGATTCGTAAACCTAGATTACTCAAAAACTCACTAGATAATGTATTCTAGCTATAAATAATCACCTGAACATTGGATTACGTCTGTTATTAATTTACTGCATTGTGATCAATGTTGTTTCGATTAGTTATTCAGACTGATAGCCATAAATATCATGAAAGAGAAAGTTGGATCCAACGATTGAATTAAGTACATTAAAGTGTCAAGTAATATATAACTCTATAGTCTATGTGATCAAGTAGAATAGTGGATTTGAAAAATAAAACGGACATATTTAACTAGTTAATCTGACATTGGTTATCGCCCAGTGGTGAATTAGTTTAAATTTTTATAACATGTTTAGATTTCTTCTTTCCTAAATTGATTTAATGGTTCACTGTCATTGATTTATTGCAGTGAATGTTAACTTCTTTCAGTGAACTAATGATTGATAAGAAACTTTTATTTGTATTTAATCTGATTACAAAGCTAAACGATTTATTTGTTTATTAAGTAATAAAGACACTTTAACAAATAAACTTTTCTTTCCAACCACGTCATCTACTAAAATTGTACATTTGTATTTGTAAATCTCTGATGAAATAGCTAACTAGTGCATCAGTCAAAAGTTATAGAAAGTGTTTAAAAGTCCCAACAATTCACGTAGTGGATCAAAGAGAAAACAGATAGAACAGATGAAACTTAATTATTAACTTAAAGAAAATGTGACCATAAAGTAATGCTGTACCATAAATTATTCGGGAATGTCATATATTGAATAGTAATTATGAAGTAATTGAACAGCTAATGAAAAGATTGTTATGATTTTAACCGTGTGATTGTTTGAATTGATGAAACAAATCTAATTATACAAGTGTATTAATATTCAGTCAGTAGTATTTCACCAAGAGGCTAGATGACACCTTGAATCTTTACTTTAGTAAGAGAAGTGGTGTGTATCGGAAAAGCAATAGAGACCCTAATAACGAACATTCATCACATTACATTAAATAACTACATGACTGCGAATCCAACAGTAACAACGTTAAGCTTAAACGTGTTTAAACTACAGTAGCAATCTTGACAAAATTATTGAATCTGAGCTGGACAAATTGATTTCCCTCGTACAGCGCTAATGGTATTTAAAATGAAAAACAACATTTAGCCATTAGCGATGTCATTTCTTTTATCAACAAAAACTATTTCATTTAATCATCCAACTCAGAACTTAAGATCAATAAGATAAAAATACACTGCTTTTCCTTAACCAGTTAAATTACATATTCACTTTTAGTAATGTGACTAATATTGAACTACTTGGGTCATTATTTATTGAGAAAGAATTTTAGTCTTATAACTAATACTATCACTATTTTGTTGCAGAAAAAGTAGTTTTGATTAGTAGGACACAATTATTTGTAGTCTTATCAGTGAAAAAGAACTTTTATCCTATTACTCATTACTTGTTCAGTCAAAAAATTAACCATCAAGCACGAGATCGATCAATGATAATTAGGTTTTTTGTCATTTCTCTTAACATCTTATCATTGGATTGTTTATACAGATAAAAATAAACTAATGATGAATAAATGAAGACTACTCTGATTATCATTATCTATCAGGTCATAATGGTTAACTAATGATGATGCGAACAGAATTCAACTCAATTCAACCATATTGGCGTACCCCTCATTTAATCGATATAACTATTGTGACCGCTATGAGAAGTTAGTCTTCTACTTTCGAAGGTATCGGTTGAAACTAGACTATAAAATAAGGTAGATAACTTGGTAAAATAAATTATTGGATGTCTTAGTGGCCAATATATTCACTTAAATATAAATTCCGTTCATATTATCATTTACCAACACGATCGTTTTCGTGAATTTGTGCAGGTATGCTGGCAATAATTTTTTGGTCAATTTTGCAACTATATTGTGATGAAATTCTCACGGATTCTTTATATTCCTAGCTTAAGATCAATTCAAGTTCTCTGGTGTAGTGATACCAATGACATATATTCACCGTTATTTGTAATTTTCTGTCTGGAAGTCCCTTACAGGGCCATTCTGTCATTAGCTAAGTAAAAAATATAATTTAAGATCACTACGAAATTTATATGATTTATGCAACCGAAAATGAAAAAAGTAAGCCACTTCACATATGAAGTCTTAGTGATAAATCACAGACAATTTTTTCTATTTCGAATTAAAGCTGACAGAATAAAGCTGGAGAGTTCCACTTACGACAGGAGTTGGAAACACTTCTCCGTCAGTTCTGTCTTTAGAAAGTTATTTAAATTATAGTACCTCACATACAGTTGAGTTTGTTTTGGGTTAAATTTAACTTGGTGTCATTTGAACTGGAATAGTCTGTGTATACCTTTGTGCTTTTATTATTGTCGTGTCTATATGAGTATGTGTGCTTGAAAGTTGATCACAAACTGAACACATTCATCCTACTAGCTCTAATGTTAGTCGCTTGGATAATTCGATGACTTATTCATTTTCCTATTATATATATATATATATATCTGTAAATTTTAATCCTATTTACTCTCTCCTTTGCATTTGCATATCGTTTTGCTTTCTCTTCGTGTGCCTGTGATTTTGCGATTGGTGTGGTGTGATAATAAATATCATCAACACTTACAGTTTGTCTTCCTAATTTCATACACTGTTTGGCATTATCTAGTAAAAATTATCAGGACGAGCAGCATACGAAGTTTAGGAACTATATCATATATCTACTGCCACAATATACAAGCACTTTGAGTGACGAAATACATTTCTCACAATTTTCACTAGGGACTTATTTTTTGAAATTTAGATAACTTAGGTATTTATTAATTTTACTGCCCCCTACTCTGTGCCTTACGTACAGAAAAATAACATCTCGAATAAAATGGTTAAAATGAATTATTACTTACTGGTACACCTTGCTGTCCAGGACTGCCCAAAGATCCTGGAGGTCCAGGGGATCCTATTGGCCCGACGCGTCCTGGTTCACCAGGCACTCCTTGTTCACCTGTTTCCCCTTTTACACCTTTGGGACCCTGAGGTCCAGTACGCCCTTGAGGACCGGTCATACCAGGCGGCCCAGATGGTCCTGGAGGTCCAGGTAGACCTCTTAAACCCTGTTTACCAAGAGGACCTTGTGGTCCAGGAGACCCATCTTCTCCAACTGGTCCTTGAACACCTTTTGGTCCAGGAGGTCCTGTCGGTCCTTGAGGTCCAGGGATTCCTAAAGGTCCCTAAACATATGATACAATGGAAGATAATGTTTCCCTTAGATAAACATGCTTTTTATTTCATTCTATCTTGAATACAAGCAAAAGAAATAATAGATTGCAACAAAACATCAAATTTTTCCTTCCAATATAGAAAGTACAACTTCTATCTAAAATAAAAAAATGTCAGTTCTTAGATTTTGAAACAGTCATTCAGTATTTAAATAATTTCAAATTATAGAAATATGCTAACCCACAATAACGATCTTCGAAAATCATGCGAAACAATCTCTTTAAATATATATGTACAGTTTATTTATCAATTATTCTCAAAAACAACTTAGTTTTGATCACTCTATTAAAACTATATTGTGAAAACTACGATTGATAAACTGGATAAATTTTTAATTCAATTTGACGCTAAAAACAAGTTTTAATAAATCAATTAATTACTTATATCTTAATATAATTCATCTCACTCCCCTATCAGTAGGTAACAGTAATTTTCAAACAAACAATAAACAAACAGTTATTGTTAATTCATTACTAAGAAGTCATTCGATTATACAATTCCAAATCAAGCTAAACCTAACAAAATCAAATTTACCTAAAATCAATAATCATTCTAGTAAAAATCAAAGAGAATTGATAGGTAGTATGGAATATTCTAAGTAAACTTGTTGCTTAGAAATTTTCTAAGACTGAAGGTGAAGTTCTGGTTGATATCAATTTATACGATTGCTTTTAATTGGTATAAAGTTATTTTAAAAACTGATAGCACTCTAAATAAGAAGAATTCATGAATAGTAAAAGGTCACACCGAGAACGTGCTCATATTGTTTTACTAAAACATATCGGATCGGTCATTAATCTGAAGCATTATTAACTGATAGTCTAGTTGTGAGCTTATTTTATTTATTGAATAAAAGTTTTAATGGTGTGTTAGGCTTCAAAATTTTGACAGTCTAATCAGCTACGGGTAAAAATTCACAATGAATCATTACATTTATTTATCGTCTTTTGAAAAACGTCTGTATTCAATGACTGTAGATTTCTTCTAGAACTTAGCAAGACAGCACAACTCAATAAATCAACTGTTGTAACAGTTTTTATCATTCTCATCAGGACATTTTTTATTTTGAATACACGACTAACCTTCTAACTCCAGATTTTGGAGGTCATAGTACCGAGAAAGGTTTAGGTACATTTTCGCATGTCTTAGTAAACATTTAATACAGAATGCAAGTAATTTGATTATACACTGGAAATACAAAAACGACTCACCAACTCTCCTTTCGGTCCGTCAGGTCCTGGCATCCCCATATCACCAGGTACTCCTTGTGGCCCACGAGGACCTTCTTGACCTTTTGGTCCGAGTGGTCCCTGTACTCCAGGACTGCCTTCAGTACCTCGAGGTCCTGGCGGTCCATCTTCACCTTGAGCCCCTCTTTCTCCTTGCTGTCCAACAGGGCCAGGTGGACCAACACTTCCAGGTTGGCCAGCTGGTCCAGGAACTCCAACCGCTCCAGGCAAACCACGTCGTCCTATAGGACCTTGTGATCCTTGGTCTCCTTTTTCACCTGCTATTCCTGGTAGACCTGTAACACCTACCATTCCTGGTGCACCTGGTGCTCCTGGCAATCCTCTAGACCCTTCTGGACCAACTAATCCTTCTGGTCCTTCCTCTCCAGCTTGTCCGGGAAGGCCTGGTGGTCCCTGAATAAATTAAAATGAGTATAAGATTAAAGTTTTATTGATGGTGGATTGAGAACCTAACGAGGATAAGCATGTGATATTTGTTGTAGGCTGTTAAGTTTTAGTTCTTTAGGTAAATATAACACTAAATAGTGAAATTTCAAGTTGTTTCGTTATTCAGTATTCAGAACTTTCACAATTACAAGTTTGAAAATTGGGTCATTCTGTTGGAGTTTTTTAATTATAAGGTAAATGCAAAGAAAATAGTTTGCAAGTCATGTAATTTCTCTGAGGATTAAACAAATAATCTAAAATTAAGAAAAATCAGTTTAGTAAATAATATCTGTATTAATAGATTGTCTATTTAAATGACCCCAATAATCCTATGTTGTGGATACAACTTGTATCAAGCTTATACTGAAATTTCACTATTTCGTGCATCACGTCAGCACATATATAATGAAGTCATATAGTTTATTCTTTTGAAATAAACCATGAAAGTACTTGTTGAAAAGATGTACTAATCAACCAAACATTGTTTTCATGAGAAAAATACCTAAGCTCTCGGACTTGGAAATATCTGTGTAGACAGACACGTATAAAGAAGTAATTAAGTTACATAGCTGGAAGTGATGGAACGTTAGGAGAAACAATTACTTATTTATTTAGAATCGAAATTTTCGATAAGCATACACTATCTACAACTATCTTCCGCTATACCCGAAATTTTGATTGAAATAAGCTGTTTCATTGACCTTAAAACAGATTTCAAACTTAAACTGACAAAGATGCATTTTTAGCTGCATTTTCCCAGAGCGTAAAAATATTCACCCCACCTTCGTGAGTTCAGAGAGAGTTCATAGCCATCCTGCAACGATCTTAGCAATCTGAAAACCAATTTTTGTCCTAGAGATCTTGAAAAAGATTATTTATTCTTTGCTATAATTTATCTTTCATAGATTTATCCCCATTGTAACTATGAATTAATTAATTAATTTAATTTTCCTTCTCTTTTACATCGAATTTCTTGACCAGTAAACGTATGATCTGAATGAATTAAGAACATGTATTACATGTTTCGGATCAAATTCACATTTTTCATTACATTGCCTAACATTTTTCTGATACATGGTTGGTTTTCCAATTTAATAATACCTATAAAATGCTATTCACTTCTCATAGCTAGCTTATATGATTGGGCCTACATTTAGTTTTTAAAAGCAGATGGAACTTATCCAGTAAACTTTGTTAAAAAATTAAATTTATGTGATAAATACGTACTTGTATTCCAGGCAAACCAGGACTTCCAACTGGTCCAAAAGGTCCACGTATACCCTTTTAATGAAATAAAGTAATTATATACTTCACATAAAGCGCTCAGTAAACAAGATTTATTTTATAAAAATGTAAGTTATCAAAGATTTATTCCATTAGGAATATTGTCAAAAACATTTGTAACTGAAAAAAAATTCAAAAAACCAGGTAGAAATCTATCAACTGCTTCACCTATAACAAACTCTTAAGAAATACTCTAATATACTATTTATTTATCAATGAAAATTAGAAGATCATCATAAAAATGCTTACCACTCCTCCTTTATCGCCTTTTGGTCCTGGTGGTCCAGGTGCACCCTTATCACCCTTTTCTCCATCAAAACCAGGCGGTCCCAATGGTCCAATAGGACCTAAACGACCAGGCGGTCCTCTTGGTCCAGGAGATCCGATCAATCCTAAAGGACCATCTTCCCCTGTTATGCCTTTGACTCCAGCTGGACCTGGTGGGCCTCGTGCTCCAATAGGACCTAGAAGTTTATTCAAGTTTATATTTAATAAAAGTTCAAAAACAAAGACTATTTAAGCGAACAAATGTTTTCAACAACTCTATCATCAGGCTCTACAATTATAAGTCTATAATTAGAGTGTTATTTTACGGAGGCTAAAATAAGGCCTACATCAATGCAGTAGACAATGTTATGTGCTAAAAATAGTGAAATTTCACAACTAGTATGGTATAGATACTTCAGGATAGTAATATTTATAAATTGGAAAGGTCATTTAATGTGAGAAATAATAAAGATAAAAAATAAAAAATCATGTGAATTAGAAAAGATCAATGTATAGATTAAGAAAGGTATAAACACGAAAAGAAATGGAAGGGGCGATAAGAGATTTATAGTTGTTTTATTTTGACAAAGTTATCTGGATAGCCATTGTTTCGTAACGTTTTCATTAGTTAATCTATTTCCCTATCTACATTACCATCAGAACATAACACCTTGATTCTGTGCCTGGGGTATTTAACCAAATTTAATTTGTACCGAACAGGTGTACAGCTCTGAAAATGTGTGAACTGATCTGTCCATGATTTCTTTCCAAATATATTTCATTTTGTGGAACCGTCTATCCTTCTAGAAAGCAAGACATCAAGGAAGGCTATACTATTACCGTTTTCCTCTTCTCTGGTAAATTTAATAGCTAGGTAAATTTTATTAAAACTGTTCACCAGCTTTGGTTTCTGTTGACACTTTTGTTACACACGGTTAATATGTTATTTCTATATCGAGAGTAACAATCTAGCTTATTGTGGATATCTTTCAATGGTTCATTTTCCAGTCTGGCTAGGAAAATATCGGCGGGGACAGGATCTAGAGGAGATCCCATCCCATATTTGAGCGAACAATTGTTTTCAATAACTTCGCCTTTTTGACCTTTATTAAATATCTAGTTTACAATCTTGAAGCAATTATACCATGATAGTTGCGAAATTTCACTGTTCTTAACATATAACATTGTCTTATTTATTAACATAAGCCTTATTTTGACCCAATGACAAATTTACTGAAAACAACTGTTCGCTCAAATGTTCGTTGTTTTGGAATATTCAATGTGGATTTTTAAATATACTAAGTTAATGGTCGGTTGTTAGTTTATTTAATGCTTTTAGCTAGTTAGTAAAGTGTATTCAACCAAAATCATTCTTTTGCTTCAGTTTTATGAAGTTTTATAGTAAGCAGATAAATGAATACAATCTATGCTTTGGTTTAAAAGTAGTATTTGCACTTCCCATGCCATTAAAAATGTATATTGGTTAGTATACTACTTATTAGTAGCTTAATACTTTAGCTTGATAAATTTAAACATGGACTGGATTGGTATTTTTTTGCCCAAGGTAGTGCAGTATCAGAGCTTTTAGTTAGAGATTATGTATGCGCTTATAGTGAATCTTTCATTCTAAATTCTGTGAAGTGTGATAAGTCTATTAAATGAACACTTGATGTGGTTTCTTGGCCACTTCTAATAACTCCAGACTAAATCTAAGCAGCAGCCTGAATGCAGTGAGTGGGTGTGAGGAGCAAAACCAGAGACTGGTGGTACGAATCACAAAATAAATCAGAGATGATCCAAGAATACACTATTTTTATAAGATTTATTTACAGCCAGATTAACAGTTAGTTTCTTAAAAGTTGAGCTGAGTTATATTTAACAATAATAATTTCATAACCTAGTATGTTGAACATACATTTACCACCCTAGATAATTAAAAATCTTTTATAAGACATGAATACATGTCACGTACGACTTCAAAAAATCTATTTTATACGTCCTTTACAGTCAAATTAATTAAAATAGTACTCGAAATGTCAAAATGTCTTTGAAATTGTTCTCGCTTCAAGATATAATTGGATAACTTCACAAATGTAAGTGTAACGCCAGGGAAACTGATTTATCTCTAATCATCGTCACAATATTTCATCAAGTGATGATTCGGTCTTAGCTTTATTGGAGAATCGTGACATTAACATATCATTTTAAATTGATATGGTAAAGTTGGCCTATAAAAGGTTAGCATGGATTGAACTACACAGACAAATTTACTTAGTTTAGTTTCCAAACTTAACCAGTAGTGTTTTGTTGGATTGACGGGCGCATATATTCACAACATAATATTAAAAAAACAACTGTAAGAACTCGGGAAAACGTTTCATTACTTGGAAATTTAATAATTTATAATTGAATTATCATAAGCGGATTTTGTGAGTTAATAAAACAAATATTTAATAATAGCCATTTGTATTTATAATTACATCTAGTTTCATTCATTTGAGATATACAAAACATTACTTAGTTTGTATTGAGCGTGCATTCCAAAATTAGTTTTGTCGTATTAAGATAATTTTTATTATAACATGGATTAGACATTGTTGAGAGTAGAATTATATACTAGTATTTTATAAACATACCTGCTGGTCCGGTTGGGCCAATGATACCCGCATCACCTTGATAACCTTTATCTCCAATAGGTCCCACTTCACCATCCGGTCCCAGCTCACCTTTCACACCAGCTGGCCCAGGTCGACCTGGCATACCATCGAGTCCTGGGAATCCACGAACACCTTGATTGCCAAGTACTCCCGGGGAACCTCTGACTCCTTTAGAACCAGGCTGACCATCACGTCCTGGCAGACCATCCTTCCCAGGATCTCCAGTTGGACCCTAGATTATAATTATTTTGAAGTGAAGGCAGAATTTGAACGTAACATGGTAAGTGACTGATAAACTTCCGATCCGTTAGATATATTAAAAATTAGCCACTGAATTTTACACTCACTAGAAAGTATATGGATTGAATTATATGGTGAAATGTATTTATCTAATTCGATGCCCTGATGGCTTTTTCTAGAAAGACAATTCAATCTTCACAATTAAATTACCCATCTCGGAGAATACACATCGACTAGAATATATCATTATCCTGAAGAAAATACTTTTACTCTTATGAAAATATCATTCGGCTTGCTATCGCAGATAAAGTAAGTCAAAAATTTGTTGATGTTACTTTTATGGTAGCTATGATAATTTAACTAGTTGTGTTCTCCAGAAAATTAAATAAAGTGAAAATAAAAAGATCAGAACCATATTTAGTGTACTGATATATATTTTTTTCTGTTGATGTTACAGAAATAAAGCTAAACCAAGACTCTTCATATGCCACCTTCAACCTCATTGTAGATCTAGGCAAAAACAAGTACATTATGTAGAATATATTCACAAATTGTCCTAAACATATTCTACAGAATCCAATTTGAAGGGGTCTAAAGCATTACAAATTTGGTCGGAATCCATATCCAGGATATGTGAAAAGATTGAGAAATGTATTTTCTAAATGATCAATAAGGAGTGATAGTCCTTACCAAATTAAACTTGAAAGAGCCCTATCATTTAGAAGCTGATGCTCATACTAAAAAGTACTAGCTAGTAACTTAAATGTTTCTGTAAAACAAGTAACTACCGTAATTAGCGTATTTTCCTCATGTGAATATGACTATAATTCGGCTGTTTGGGACAGTCGCTCTAATTATGTATCAAAACTCACTGAACACAATCTTAATCTATATTCAGATTTTAAATTTTACACAATTTATTATTTTCTGATGAATAAATGAACTTGAAATATAAAAGTGTATTAATACTCATTCAGATTGCTGATTATTTGAACTTATCAGGCAATTTATAGATGCAGAAAATGTAGCGAGATAAAGTACATGTGCCTTAGTTATTTAATACATATTTAATACATGTAATCTTTAATACTACTCAGTGTTACAGGTAAATTCATATGTAGCAATCTAGCGATTCTATTTAACCTATTTCTTAGAGTTGGAAATTTATGATATTTCCTTTGTTTTTTATACCTGGAAACCGTTGATATTTATATTTTGATAAATGGAAATAAATCTTGCTGTGTGCTTTAAATTTCCATGAGAATTAACGAAATAAATCTAGAACTAATCTTGTAAACACTCATTAATCTTATATTTTCTAATCTAATGTTTACAGATTATTTCTCTAAATTCTTGTTCTCTGGGAATTATGATGACATAGAAATGTTCATTGTACGTGCTTTATTTCTTCGGAAACATACAGTTACGCCGCTTACACCATCTGAAACATGGATAAACTTCTTCGCTTCTTTGAAAATCTAGGAAGTTAGTTATGTTTCAAAATGAGTACATTGCTTCTATCATGTTTCCATTCAATCTCCTAGCCATCGTCTGTACACTATCAAACATAAATGAGTAATTCAGAACAAAGAGTTTTGGAGCTAAAGATTGTTTTCGATAGCTATTTCATGAGGCCCTACAATTAAAAATCGGAAATTATTAGTCTATTCCAATGCACAAAGTATTAAAGCCAAATTAATTCATGTTATAAATTGAAAATAGTAGACTTTACATCTACTGAATTTTAAATGCCACAAAATACTAACCAAGCAAAACACTATTATTGATAATTCCGACAAATAAAGGATAAGAAAAAAA